GCGGAAGCAGCGGCAGTGGTGGCGGAGCCGTGGACGATTCAGATGCTGGCAATCGGGCTAGCAGCGACACAATGAAACAAAAGAAAGGTGCCAAGGGTGCACCGAAAGCGGCAAAGATTAAGAGAAGAGGCGTCTAAATGATATTTTGGGTCAACAATGGCACCTTTCAGTGTTGCATTTTTTTGGGAGGCATTTGTCATTCATATATGTTTTCTTCTTCGAGATCCCCTTTCTTCTCTTCTTACCGACTTTTGTTTACTTTTCCTTTTCTATTTCATCAGCTTTCAACATTTTGCAGCGCATTTAACGGCCTTGTATACACAACAAGATTTATTCGTCACCAACCCAGGAATACCAATACATGCAATCTCCTCTTTCTATCTTGGCACGTCATACATTACTGTGGGAAATTTCATTATTTCTTTTTTGATATGTCGTCCCGAGAGTATTGGTCAAAGTATCCTGGCTACAAGTTTGTAGTTGGCTTTCTGTAAAAAATCAATTCGTGGTTGTGGCAGTCTGACAGACGAATGTTGGCTATTTAGACAGAGCAACCGAATATTGCAAGAGTTAACATTCAATACAAAAAGTCACTGACGCCATGCGTATTGAATATCATCTGTAGTTTGGCTATTTCGGTCTTGTACACACACTTTTGCTCAGCTGCTCTTCCTCAATACAACTTATTGGCAAACAAGAAAAATACAATAATAAAATAATACAGGAACAGGGAGGAAGAAGGATGAAAATGGACAACCGCCAAACAAGACCTAAAGGAAATTATGTGGAATGAAACGTAGTCTGGCTTCTCCTCCCGATGCACGTTATTAAGATGTTGGTTCTTTTGCTATTTCCTCTTCTGTACAGTCACCTGCCGATACCAGCACCTATTCTTCGGCTATCGGTGTTGGCTCTGCAGCGACCTCAGTCTCGGTATCAGCTTTGGCCTCTTCCGCCTCGGCCTTGGTTGCTTCATCCTTCTCCTGGGCTTTGTCAGTAGTCTCCTTGCCCTCGGGCGTGGCAGCTTCCGGCGTTTCCTCGGTGGCGTTGGGGGTATCCTCCGGGACAGGCTCAGTCTCAGCTGCTGTTGACTCTTCTTTAGTGGCGACAGGAGCAGTACCCTCGGTCGGCTTCACGTCCTTGGCACTTTCGTCTTCGACAGTCGAGGTGACGTCCTCTGTCGCTGTCTCGGAAGCTGCTGGGACGCCAGTTGATTCTTCCTTGGGAGGCTTCTCCGCAGCCGCCGCTGCACCACCTGTGGCTTCTGCCAGCTCGCCCGCTACAATGACTGTGACCGGTTCGGCAGGTTCTTTCTCATTTGTAGGTGGTTGTGCTCCTTCTTCAGCGGGCTCTGCACTCAGCTCGGTCTGTTCTGTCTCGGTGCTATCTGTCGTAGACGCTTCGGCCGTGCTTGCTGGCTCTTGCTCAGGCGGTGTGTCCGTTGCAGACTTGTGCTGGTCGTGTTCCACGATAATGGGCACCGAAGTTGTCGAGGCGTCTGCACCTGTACCGGCTCCACTGCCGTCCGTCTTTGCCTCATCCGCCGGAACTTCTTGCTCGGTGACCGTCGGCGGCGTCGTCGAGTGAGAGGATGAGCGAGCCAGTACGGGTGCCAAGTGGGCATTTTTAAGGATGGAGATGGGCCGGCCCGCGGCACCAGGTGCAGCATTTGCGCCGTCCTCATCTTGCTCCAGAACGGTGGTCACGGCGCTGCCAGTGGACGGGCTGCTGCGAATGTGTCGCCGCGTATTGGTGCGGCCAACCGCGTGCAGGTGTTCGCTGTCGCTACCTAGTAGGTCCGCCGCAAGACCTGTGCCACTGCTCGAGGCAGAGCCGGCGGCAACCGGTCCAGAGTCTGACCGGTACGCCGAACGATCGCCAGCCGCACCTCCGGATGCCGGGTTCATGGCAAGGCTCTTCTTGTCAGCGATGGACGACATCGGGATGAGGCCCGGTGCCACATTCTCGGAGGGGGCAGTGCTGCTCTCATTTGTTGAAGGCTCTGCGGGCACACTGCTGCTCGACACCGCCACGGACGGTGTGACGTCCAGACCCTCAGCCTCAGGTGGCAGCTTGTAATTCTCGGCGGGTAGCAGGTCGTACATGTCGCAGACAGTTTTGAAAAAGACGTAGAGGCCAGTCTGGCCCTCGACAGACCAGAAGACGCCACGGTGCTGGAACCAGGCGTGGGCAAAGATGCGGTGGAGACGACGGAACACGTTGATCAGGTTCTTAACGGCCGCATTCTTGTCGTGTGGATCGGCAAAGACGAAGCGGCTGGGGAAAATCTTGGGGTTGGTGACGACATTTGCGGCCCAGTCGAGGGTGTGGCAGCAGTAGTCGATGGCGCAGCAGGAGCGCGGCTGCTCGTGGACGGCGCACAAAAACTGCCACTCTGACGCACGCATCTCGGGGCAGGTGGTGGCACTGCAGGGCGGCGTGTCAAAGAGAAACCCGACAATAAGGCTGTTGCACTGCGCAATCAGAAAACGGCAGAGCTCGTATAGCCAGAGCGTGCGGTCGGTGCCGGCGGGCGCCTGGGCGAGGATGTGGGCTGTCTCGCGGGAAATGGGAATGGTATTGTTGGCAGTGTGGTGGTAATGGAGGGCAGCGAGGTGTTCCTGGAGCTGGAACGCCGAGTCGAGCTGGCGATGTTAGTCGATGCTGTTGCGACTTTTTTTTTGTTTTCAGAGAAAAGTTCACAGCAAGCTCACCTCATTAAGCGGGACAAGCGGCGGCCCTGCGGCGAAATCTGCAGCCCGGGTGCCTGGGTGAATACGGCGCTTGGAGTTGGCATCGAGGATCGTCTGCTCCATTTGCTGCTCCATTTGCTGTTGAGCCAAAGTTGCGCCCGAGGCTGCCGGCGATTTGGGACCGATCTGGATCTCGGCGGCCGGGGGAGGGCTGGGTAGCCGAGGCGAGCTCGGCGGGAGCGCCATATCTGGAGAGGTATTTTATATTTCAGGAGGTTGTGAGGCACTTTCGGTGGCAGCCTCCCTCTTCATCACAAAATGGTTTCCGGTTCGGTTATTGATCCTTGTTTTGTGTCTCGTGTCGAGGCGGCTGTCAAATTGTCAGGATGCAAGAAATGTTGTGGCGGGTCCAATACGCAATGTATGCTCAGTGACACAGGTTAGAGGCCACAGCTTGGATGCGAAGTCGTGTGCGCGAGTGTCCTGTGCGGGGTCTTGTGTCGTGGTGAGATATGAAGAGTGACGATGCTGGAAGCTATGCAAGCGCTGGCGATGTTTTTCTGTTTGCAGATGCCCGATGTGAATCCTGTTTGTTTCTGTGCCTACCTCCCGTCGCTCCTGCCTTACCGCCTTGCAGAGCTATCCAGGGGTTGGTTTGGTAACCCCGGGCGCTGCAGTTGCTGATTGGCTGATGCTCAAGGAGCTCTTTCTCCGCTATGACTAATCAGGTAAGCCCTCCCGAGCGAGGCGTCGTGTGCTGTAATTGAGGCGGTTGCGGGGCCTGGCAGCACTAATTGATGTGCATCAACTTCTGCAAGGCGATGTCATCGCGGCGACAAAGGGCGTAGAGGTCAAAAAGTATTTTCCACTGTAAGTTGTGCCTGCCACTCCTACAAACTCAACACCTTTGCTGAAATATTTTATTCCGTGTCAATAAGCGTCAGGGAATAACCAGACGCAAGCATCTACAGGAAATATGGACTCCGACGACGACCTGCCGCCTGTTCTCGTCGACACGGCCGTCGGAGCGGACGAGAACGACGCAGAGCATGGGCCCAAAGTGCCTTTGACGATCGTGACGGGTGGGTTCTGACGCAGTGGCTATTGTGAGATGTATAGCTTGAGCCTGACCTCTGACCCATCTAGGATATCTGGGGGCGGGCAAGACAACGCTGTTGAACTACATCTTGACAGCAGAACATGGCAAGAAGATTGCTGTAATTATGAACGGTGAGTTTGAAACGTGGTCTGGCTTCTCCGGCTTTAAAATATTTTCGGATGTATCGTTTAAAGCTTGAGATGAAATACTAATTGTTGTGATGGTAGAATTTGGGGACTGTGAGTCTCGGTCATGGTTGGGACGCGCCTCGGTGTTAGAGTAAAATCAAACAGCTGACGCCACGCAGCTTTGGACATTGAAAAGTCCTTGACAATAAACAGAAACGGCGAGTCCGTCGAAGAGTGGCTGGACGTTGGTAACGGCTGTATTTGCTGCTCAGTCAAGTGCGTCCTGCCTTCGCTACTCTGGATCTCAATTTTCGTTTGCTGACCTCACAGAGACACCGGTGTCAACGCTATTGAATCGCTAATGGCCAAGAAGGGCAAGTTCGATTACATCCTGCTCGAGACGACTGGCCTTGCCGATCCGGGAAACCTGGCACCGCTCTTCTGGATGGACGACGGCCTCGGCAGCTCGCTGTTCCTGGACGGCATTGTCACGCTGGTCGATGCCAAGAACATTTTGCGGAATCTTGATGAGCCCGAGGGCACTGATCAGACGGAGGACCACAACCATGCAGTTGAGCACGGGCCACTGATGACGACGGCACACGTCCAAATCTCCCACGCCGATGTAATTGTTATCAACAAGTCGGATCTCGTCGATGCGGACGAGCTGGCCCGCGTCAAGGCGCGCATCGAGTCGATCAACGGCCTGGCGCGCATTCACGTCACGTCCCAGAGCGCCGTACCACAGCTCGAGGGCGTCCTTCTTGACCTGCACGCGTACGAAACGGCTGAGGCGGTCGAGCGTGCTGTGCACCAAAACCACCACAGCCATTTGGACCCGGTACGTTGACACGCCCTCCCATTTACCTCTTCTGCACACGTCCCGGCCCAATGCGCGCACTGACACCCAAAATAAAGTCAATATCGACAAAAGCTATCGACCTCGGCGTCCTTGATGCGGCACAGGTTGCCAAGGTCGACGAGTGGCTGCGGTCGGTGTTGTGGGAGAGCCAACTGCCCGATCCTGCTGGCGGGCCAAAACAGGGCGGTCGCAACGACCCGATCAGCTTCGAGATACACCGCACCAAGGGCCGTCTCGTGCTCAACAACGGCTCGGACAAGGTTGTCCAGGGCGTTCGGGAGCTATTTGAGATTTTCGACGCTCCGGCACCCTCACTCGCGGAAGAAGCAGCAGGCCAGTCAACCGCCGCGCCCGAGTCGAGCAAGCTGATATTTATTGGGCGGAGGCTTGACCGGTTCGACTTTGAAAAGAGCATATTGAGTGCCATACGGATATAGACACGGCATGTCAATGCATGGTTTTGTCAACGGCAGTAAATATCAAATGAAACCCGTTAAATGCATATCACAAATTGAAACGTTAATTGGTGGTGGTGAGATTGTTGTATGTGGAAGCGAATCTGACTCATCTCAAGCTTAAAGGTGAGGTTGCAGTCTACTGTGAAATAAATCAAAAGAAAATAACCCTTATCTACGGGAACAAAGCCGGAACACCTTCGACATGACAATGCAGCTGTCACTTGTTTTAAACTGCACGTGTGAGGCTGAGATGCAGGGGAGAGCTGGATCTTTCGCGTAATTTGGCAATTAAAAAAGATGCAAAATTAAACATAAAACTCTAAAAAGAAGGTAGAGGAGGTGCGCACGGGCCATTTGTGTCGCAGCTTTACATCGCTTAGAGAAATATCCATGTATCGAACAGCTGAGTCCACGCGCGCTAATCAACAAAGACATATAGTTTTGTGGGGCTTTGATCATGATTGGTCTTTGTTGGTTGGCTAGTTTTCGCACAGCGAACCTCCTTCGTTTCTTTTCGAGGAATCTCCGACGCCACACTACCGCAGGACCTCACAACACACGACCACGAGCTTCTATCTGCACGCCATCTTCTCGCCCGACCCCACAGTCCTTTTGACTTCTCGTCCAACGTGTCGCTGTGCACGGTGCACGTCAATAGTTGTTACCTTGTAGCATTAGCGCGACGTTCGTATTGTTCTTCGCTCCCTTGCATCATCACGAACTCGGCCTCGCTGTTAGGACGACAAACCATCAACACCCAAGCCCTCGAGCTGACCACCGAGTCGCATCGACGACCATCGACGACCTTGGACGACCATTGACGACCCAAGGCGACCTAACCAGCACAGACGCTGCGAACATAGACGTCTTTCGACCCGCTGCCCAGTATGAATCGACCAGGTATGAACGACCATTGCGCCCGATAGTTAAAGAGAAGCGCAGGGAAGGGAGGTGAAGTTGGCAGACAGGCACGGCTTTCGAAAAATAGGCACACGGCCCCCTGGAAGAACAAATGAAACGGCTTTGTTGCCGGAACGGCAGGGGTGCTCAGCATGCTGTTGCGCTTCTTCTCGATGCGCGCAAGCCGTCTCAAGCCTTTTGATCATGGTCGCGGTGGTACATTTTGGCGGATGGGGGGCCACGAGTATCGACACGGCATGGCCGTTGCGATCACTGGCCCCATAACCTCTGCCCGTGTTGTTCTGCTGCTGCCGTTACTCCTTTGCGCTCTGCTGTGTCTCTTAAACGGACCGTGGCTGTTATCCCAGCTTCGATCCCCAAAACGTTCGTCTTTGCCTGTCCGGGTCGATCGCGCTAACAACTTTTCGCAGGAGGCGCTCCTCATTCCCTCCGGGGCTTACCTAACGGCTTCAATACCCAACAACAGCAGCCACAGCAGGCACGGTCCGTGTCCAGTCGACTACCCAACGGCAAGATGGGTAAGCACGAGAAAAAGCGAAGCAGATGGGAGACCGGTCTAGCGGGACGGCTGGCAAACGACAACTAACAGGCGTGTTTGCAGGTAACAACAATGTGTCAGGCTGGACGTTCGGCTCCGGCGTTCCACTCGCAGGCTCGGGCGCCGGTGGCCTGCAGAACCAGGCCCGGCCGCAGCAACTGGGCGGCAATATCAGCTTTGCCCAGAGCTTGGGCGGGTCACAACCGGCCACGCCTCTGGATCCTTCGTATGTTTTCTAGTTTTGTGTTACTTGTCCAGCGGTCCATTTTTGGTTTTGGTTCCTTTTTACGGTCGTTTGTGTTGCTTTTATTTTGCCGCCTCATCTTAGTCTCACTTTCCTCTCACCTTAAAGACTGCCCATCTGCCATTCAACTCCACTCTATTCCCTTCTCCAGCCTCGCCACTTCATTGCACTTGGTCACACTTCATATTGCCCGACCTTTGCAGTTACTTCTCCTCTTTCATGTTTATGAACAGTCTCCATTTGCCCCTTTTGCCTCTGTCTTCCATTCGCAATGCCTCACTTCGTTTCACCGCCCGCGTCAAAAATGTGCATCCTGGAGCCAGAGACATTTTCTGGACCAGTTCGACTGCAGAGGCCTTGCAGATCTCCTGCACGACGAGTAGCAAACTCGTCCACGTTGAAGAGCATGGCGTACGCTGCGGCTGTCAAGCGGTACATCCCATCCCAGAAGCATTTCCTCTCATTGTAGCTCCTGTCAGGGAGTTTGTCTCGACACCTTGAAACCTCATGCCATTTTTTGTTTTCTGTTTCCTACCTTTCGCCTTGCTGTTCGCTGTCTGCTTATCGTTGTTCACCTGCTAACCATTTCATAGGGAGTTCCCCTCGCTGTCAAATAACACGCAACTAGCAAACGCTGGCCAAGCATCGTTATGGTCCACGGCCGGCGCACGAAACATTGGCAGCCAGTCGATACAACGGGGCGCCAACACGCCCTTGTCGTCGCAGCAAGGCCAGCAGCAGGAGGACATGTTTGGTGCGTCCACACGACTGCCGTCCAACCAAGGCTCCTTCCGCTTCGGCAGCCAGGCCGCCAATATTGGCCAGGCCAGCATCGGTCAGGCGAGTATCGGCCAGAATGCACAATCATCACAGCCGGGCGCCATCGACGATTTCCCACCACTGAACCGGTCCGCCACCACAGGCGAGATTGGTCAGGACCGCACGGCGAGCCTGATGTCCAGTCTCGGTTACAGCGGCGCCCAGACGTCGGCAACTTCACCCGCGGCACCAGGAGGTGCAGCAGCAGTCGGCGCCCGCAGCATAGGCAACGGCCTGCTCAACGCCCTGTCGGCCAACTCGGGATCGCGAGTCGCCAGCGGTGGTAGCGAGGTGCGGTCACCAGTCGGTACACGACCGCAGGAGACAAGAAGCCTGGCAGCGGAGGAGGAGGCGGCGGCACGACAGAAGATGGACAGCGATGCTGCGTCCGCTTCTGCTGCTGCTGCGACGGCGGCGGCAAGTGCGACGCAGTCGCCAATAGGAGGACAGGCTGGCGGGCCGGTGCGCGGTGCCGACGGGCGCAGCTCGATTGGTACGATGGGCGGCGGCGATGGAGCTCCTTCTGGCAAGCTGCGGGAGGAGAGCGAAACAGCAATCCACGCCAGCCAAGATCCCCTGGCCGGCACGGCACCCATCGACCGGTGGGGCATGAAGGGCCTGCGGTCCTTGCTGAACAATCCAGAGTACAGCGCCATGATCTCGGGGTACGGGCTGGACCTGAACGCGCTTGGTGTGGATCTGAACACGAACGAGTGAGTACTATCGTTACCTTCTTTTTTTTACTTCCCGGATTGAATTCCATGCCTAACAGAACAGCCTCTTGTCCACGCAAACGTACTCGCTGTTTGACGGCGCGGCACCGCGACCCGCCATGCCCAAGTTCCGCCTGCCCGAGTGCTATAAGGTGTCCAACGTTGGCCCGATCGAGAGCAAGATTGCGAGCTTTAACGAGGAGACTCTGATGTGGATCTTTTACTCGTGTCCAAACGACATCAAGCAGCAACTTGCTGCCATTGAACTGTAAGTCCTGGGAGAATCGAAAACAAAACGCGCCGTTGTGCTAGTATAAACACTGACACTCTCAGGAACAACCGCAATTGGCGATGGCACAAGCGGCAGCAGGTCTGGCTTACCAAAGACGACCTGATGATGCCGCAGGTCCTTAGCATGAACCACGAGCGTGGCTTCTACATTGTGTGGGACGTGTCGACCTGGCGCAAGGAGCGGACAACGAGGGAAATTACTCTCAACTATGGCGACCTGGACAATGCCCCGGTTGCCGCAGGAGGCGCCGTCTAAGCAAGGCCCATTATGGATAACCGGGGAAGGAAAAGGACAGAGGAACGCAGGGGTTCATTGCTTTTTTTTTGGGTCCGGTTTTATCATTAGGAAATGAGTGGGGGAGCCGCTCACCTGGTGCCGTTATTCTGCTCCGCGTGCTCTCTTATAATTTTATCATCGCCTGGTCGTGCGTTCGTGTGTACTTTCGGCTGAACTTGGGACTGCTATTTTAACTTGTTCTCTTTTATCTTTTTTTATGATCACATGTTGAGTTCTACGTGTCCTCCCATGGTTATCTTACTGTTTTCTTTTGTCTCTTCCGGGTTCCTCTATGGTTCTGTTAAGGTCCTGAACAAACACGACTTTCTCTCGCCGGAATAATACCGAGTCTTTGCATTATTAGTACTTGCATACGTGATCCAGAGCGTCTCGTTTTTATTTCCAAATGGGTTAAAATTCAACGGTGAAGTGGGACTTCAAAGGTTATTTTATCTAGCCTTCAAGCTGCAAAAGGAGAATAATACGTATATGTGCGTAAAGAGAATGAGAAGCACAATAGGTATTGAGCTACTTTGTTTGTGAAACGCTTTATAATGTCTGGGGTGCTCGTGACACCTAAGATAAGGGACAGGGGACAAGATAGAATGTATAAAGATGTCCTAAGTAAAAAAAGAGGCGTGAAGAGAAGAGGGGCAGAAGAGAAAGCATTTTGACAGTCTCGCACATTGTAGAAATGATGGATGGGAGGGGGACGATATGAGAGAGACATCGACGAAATGGATCAGAGCGGCAGACTGGTGATGATGATGCGATTGAAAAAGAGAAATGAAAAAAAAAGCAAAGAAGACAATAGCCGAGACAATGGACAAAGCCAAGAGGCATACGAGATAACCTCGACTTCATGCCCGCACACTGCCAGGCAGCAAAATAGAACGTAACGGAAACAAACCAGAAAATCCACACGATGTCTTTTGAGCCATCTCCAAATAGCCCCCAATTCCATGTCCTGTACAATGATTTATGCCGTGTCCGACCCCATTTCTCCCCTCTCCTTCCAAGCAACCCCTGGTCTCCTGTTTCGAACGGTGTATCCATCTTCTACCGCGAAGAAGGTGGTAACAGGAGTGCCCTCGGCTCCAAAAAAAAAAGAGAACAAGAATAAAACTAGTGGGGAAATGCACCCACCCCCTTCGGTTGACCTCATTTTCATATCCATTTAGTGCCAAGTACCGTTGCCGCCCATAAAGCCTTCCTCCAGAGTCCGCTCCTCTAGGTTGCGAATAAAGTCGCGGTTGCTGCCGCCACGGCCTGAGTTGCCACTGCCGCTCATACCTCCACCGGCCATGCCACCGGCACCCACCTCACCGCCGGCGCCCATGCCGCTCGGACCAGGTCCCATCTGCGTGGTACGGCTGCCGCGGCGGACCGGCCGGCCGGACTGGTCCAAACCCATGCCGTCTGATGGCGGCGGGTAGTAGGCCGGGCTCGGCTGCAGGCGAATGGGCTGCGTCGGGTCAAGGTGGCTGGCAACTCGCTGGATCGCCGCCGGAATGCCGCTCATCTGCTGCTCCATTGTCGACGCGCGCTGCCTAGAGCGTGCCCCCGCAGCGTTTGGCTGCTGCTGCTGCTGCTGCTGGTACGGGTTCTGAGGTGCGCCTCCCATGGACGACCCGTAGCCGCCGGCCGAGGCTATTTGTGGCGGGCCTTGTTGTACCATGCCCATGCCGGCGTACGGGTTCTGGGGTGCCCCGGCGTATGGCGGCGGCTGGGGTTGTGCTTGGACGTGGCTGTTGCTGGGTGCGTACATGTTGCCGGTGTTGTAGAGAGGGAGGCCGGGCTGGCCATGTTGGACCTGGGGCGCCGGCGGTTGTTGCTGCTGTTGTTGTTGTTGCTGGTATGAGTTGGCGCTCATCGCGTAGGCGTTCTGGGCAGCGGTGTTTGCCTGTGCCTGCGCAGCCTGGGCCCGCTGCTTGCTGATGGCCTCGGCTTGCTGCTGCTGTTGTGTGCCGGGAGCCGGTGACCGGTTCAGGGAGCTCGACTTCAGGTTCATGGGCGGGACGAAGGGGCCGGTGAATTTCTGCTGTGTAATGAAGGGATGTAGCTTCGCTTGCTGTGGCGACCATCGCTCCAGAGGGTTGATCGTCAGGAGGCCCCGGACAAAGTCAATGAACGCAACGCGGTTGTTCATTTCTGGAGTCGGCGTTAGTAGGAAGCATGGGAAATGGGAAAGAAAATACTGTGAGTGAAAAAAAATAAAATAAAAAACACGAACCTCTGTCGATCTCGCTCTGCTTCATGTTCTTCCGTGGCATAGGGTACGTCTTGATGATCTCGGGAAGCGTCGTGGCTTGGAAGTAGCGCTTGCTAGGTTGCTCTTTGGTGCCATGCTCCCGTGAGTATTGCTCCATCGACTTGAGCTGATAGGTGCGACGGCCAAACTCGTCGGCGCGCCGCTCGAAAAACTCGCCGGCCTGCTTGCCCATCTCGATCATCCAGTTTGGCGGGTTGCCAAGCATCTCGACAATGCGCATAACCTGGTTGTACTCAGACGAGCCCGGGAACAGGGGCAGACCGAGGAACAGCTCGACGACGATACAGCCGAGCGACCACATGTCAATAGCTGAGGAGTATGGTAGGCCCAGCAGGACCTCGGGTGAGCGGTAGAAGCGCGACTGGATATACGTGTAAACCGTCTGGCGTTCGTCGCAGGCGGAGCCGAAATCGATGATCTTGATGATGGGACTTTCGAGGTTCTTAAGCAAAATATTCTCCGGCTTCAGATCGCAATGGATGAGGCGAGCCTTGTTGAGCAGGGCAAGGCCGTTAAGGAGCTGCTGCGCGAAGACGCGCACGAGCGTTGTGCTGAGACCGCGGAACTGGTTCTGCTTGATCAGCTCGTACAGGTTGACGCTCAGGAGCTCAAACACGAGACAAAGATGCTGCCGGTGGATGAATGTGTCTTTCAGGCGGAGGAGATGGTGGTCGTCGTTTTTGTCGAGCTTCGTGTTGAGCTGAAGCGCGACTGTCAGCAAGGAGCACACACGGGGCCATAGAAAAGGGACGAGTTTAAGCAAGTTGAACAGGAAACGACTCTTTGGGGCCAACGTACCAAATCCAGGACAGACACCTCCATCATACTCTGGTTGAAGTAGGCCGTCTTGTTCTTGATGACCTTAACGGCAACGACTTCTTGTGTTTTGAGATTCTGGCACTTGACCACCTGGCCGAAAGTACCTTGGCCAAGAACATCGAGAATGAGGTAGCGGTTCTTGTGTCCCGCTTCTTCGGAACCGAGAATGTCGTTCACGTAGAGGATGTAGTCGCTGTCCTCGTTGTCGAAGCCGTCGTTCTTGAGACCCTTGCTGGGCTTGGTGAGCACTCGCCGTGGATTGCGCGACGACTCGTATTTGAAATGGGGGTTGCAAATCCGGTAGGTCGCCGGCAAATGGACAGTGAGAGCTTGCAGGGGCTAGAATGTAACAAAATCGTCAGCAGCAGAATCACAAGGTGTAGGCATAAGCAAGTACAAAAGGATACTCACGCTGATGAATCCGCCCTCAGGGTTCGCTCGCCGGAACGGCGGCTGGGTATTGACAGTGGGCCGCAGTTCGTTGACGGCCCGGAGCTTCTTAAACTCGGGAACGACGCTTGAAGGCGGCTTGGCGCCAGAATGACTGCTGCCACCGCTGCTGTTGGCCAGCGTCATGGCGGGCAACTGTGGCCGCCGAGGCGATTTATGGTCGCCGTACGTGCTGTCCATGGGCGAGAGAGCGCTCGACGCCGGCGAGTAGAGGTCGCTGCCGACGGGTATCAAGTTCAGCAATGGTGGTGGCTGCTGCTGCTGGGATGGGCCCTGGGATGGCTGGCGACTGCCGCCACCGTAGTACGGGCTCTGAGGGTGATATGGGCTGCTCTGGGGTGCATAGCCGTCCTGCGGCCGAGCGGGTGACTGACGCTGCGTCTGTTGCTGGCCAGCCGGAGTGTATTGGGCGGCCGAAGACGAGGTCTGTCCGGATTTCGGGGCGTAGGGGGTGTACGGAGAGGTGGGCGAGAGCGCCTCCATGGGCGAGTAGCGCTGGGCCGCCTGGGAAAGCTCGTGAGGCGAGTGCAGGCCCGACGAGCGGCCACCGCCCAGAGGGCCGCTGCTGGACAGGCTATGATGATGGTGGGGGCGGATGGGATACTTGACGCCAGCGTAGGGATCGTGGTTCCCACCAGACGCGGCGGCGGCGGCTGCGGCGGCGGCGGCGTCGTGCATTGGGATGTCGCCATTGTTGTCGCGGATGGCTTGCGGGCTCGTGATCATGGGCGAGCCTGGCAGGTTCTGCGCGGTCAGACCGGCACCGCCGCCTCCCGAGTACTGCTGCGATGAAGGCGGGGCGCGCTGCTGCTGTTGCTGCGGTGGCGGCTGCTGCTGTTGCTGCGACGGACCGCCACTACTGTATTCCCGCCCAACATGGTTGCTACCATTATACTGCCGTGAGCCATTGCCGGACGGCTCGGAGTATGCAGGCCATTGGTCCATCGTGGCGGATCGATGGCAAGCTCAATCGTCGAGAGGTGTCGGGCAACCGGGGGGACGAGAAGCGACGAGAGGTGTCGGGCAACCGGGGGGACGAGAAGCGACGAGAGGGACGGCGATGGGAGACGTGGAGGGCGAAGAGCCCAGGCGCGTCCGGGATCTCGAGACGTGCAGCAGAGTCGGTATACAACGTGCAGCCAGTCCAACGCAAATGTAGTTTGGCCAGCTTCAGCTTGGAGCAGTGTCGATGGGCGAAGGCTGGGCGCGTCTCGTCGAGTCTGAAGGGGAGGCGAGCGCGTCGAGAGAGGCGTCAAGGCGTCACGGCGTCACGGCGCCAAAACAGAGCGGGAAAACAACAAAAGCGTCGTCGGATCGATCGCTCTCGTCGATGTGTCGTTGTTGGGCGGCCGAGAGGAGAGAGGTGCGCAGCTAAGAAGCTGAAACCCGCAAGCTTGCTTAGCGATGCAGAAATAAAAAGGGAGTTGGGAGGAGGGACCGCCGGGAATGAGAGAGTGGAGGGGAAAGGGGGCAACCGCCCGTGCCTGTGCCTGTGCCTGTCGCCCTGTAGCCCTCTAGCCCTCTAGCCCTCTAGCCCTGTAGAAGCGTGGGCGCTGGGATACAAGAGTGAAACCCGCAGACAGAAGATGGGCCAAATGGGGGCTTTCGCGTGCGTCGGACGCCACGAGAGGAGAAAGGCAGAGGACGAGGTGCGAAGGGCGGTCGCAGTTGCTGCGGGAAAGCGACGATGTTTTTTTTCTATCTCGTCCTTTTTCGCTCTATTTCCCCTGCCTTGGGGAACCGCGAAAAGTCTGTGGCTTGTCCCTCCGCTAAGTCTTGCGGAGATGTTTTGTTTTGGGTGCCCTTTGTAATTTGCGTGTATTTTACGCCGCCAGTCTACAATGTGTTTGGCTAGTGAAAGGTAAGGTATTAACAGGGGAAGAGGTGAGGGCGTGCGGGAAAGAGTGGTGATTGGAAGGGGCCAAGGAGGGGGGGAAAGCGGTACGGCTGGGCTTGCACAGAGGGGAGGAACAGCAAAAGCAGCAGGCGCCCAGCGCACAGCGCACGCAGGAGCGCTTGTCAGCGGCCCAGCGCTACGAGAGCGAAATTGGGTGCTTTTTGCTTTGGGCATCCATCATCCCACTCCACTGCAAAAGGTCCGTCAGGCTTGAGTCAACTGGGGCGGCGACTCGTCACCCACTACTGTAAACATACGGCTTGGGAATAAATTGGGCCCAGCAGGACCAAAGAATCGCAATTCCAATCGTGTCATCGTCAGCCGTAGAGAACGGGAGAGGCAGAGAGGCAGAGAGGCTCCTGGATGCGTCGAAAAAGGCTGACTAAGTTACAAATGCACAGATGCCAACCCAAAGGGCAAGAGCGAACGATTGCGACAACAGACGGGCGATGCAACGGCACGGCAGCATCAGACGTCATCCCATCATTATGGCAGGCGTTGCCTGGTTCCTTCCTGTTTTGTGCGTCTTTGGACGCGTTTCTCATAGCGCTGTCTGAACTGCTTGTACGCAGTGCTGCCCGCATTTCTTGTATTCTTGCATTTCTTGCATTATGGTTCCTGTGTAATCGTTTCAGCCTTCGCGAAATGTCCCTAGGTATGCTCGCTTTTGTCGCAGATTTCACGCGGCCATTTCCCAGTTTCGTAAGATACCGGTCTGCTTCCATGGAATATGGAGCACCAGATACGTTGGCCGCTCTTTCCTTGCTTGCTCGCGTTTAGCCGCAGCCCAGGACCTAGCAGCCAATCAGAAACCGACAGAGCTCTGCTGCCGCCACAATAGCCACAGAAGCCACAGCGACCAGCGAGCCCGAACAGAGGGTGGCAGAAGAGGATGAAGCTGTCAAAACAGTCACACAGCGGGATTTGATGCAGTCTGCAAATAGCGAGATCGCTCTTGGCCTGTTCTTTCGGTACACTTCCCCAGAGCGGACCGAGCAGCAGCCGTGGAATATCACAGATTTACCTACTTTGGTGGACGCCATGTGGATCCACATCACAGCTGGAATGTGCACAGAAGGTACGAAGTACGTAAAAGTGGGTCTAATACCTCCGTCACGACCGGAATAGATCACTCGATACAGGCAATTGACTGCGAGTGAATCAACTTCAGCTGGAGGAAACAAAGTCGCACGGAACGGACAACATGAGTCTCGACTTTTATTATCAAAAATGACAGCGTTGGCGGTAACATGGCGGCTTTCGCACCGTGACATAGCCCACTAATTCTAGTGGCAGGGCCGCCTCCGGGCGCCTGCCAGTTCTAGAGGCTCCGACAAACCGTCCTCCGAAGTAACTCACAGCACCTATTGACTTGAAAGTCCTACAGCACCTCCTCACTTTCTCTCTCGAACGGACGGTCTTGACGCAGACCAATACAGAAAGCATAAAAAACCCATTGCATCCTAGAGGTGGACCGCGATCCCCAGATCCCCAAAACAGAAGGCGGATCCGCTAGTTTCCGGTACTTTGGTCCAAACCGCTTATAGTGTAAATCATGGCCGGGCCCGGCCACGTTCGGCCAAGAGTACCTCTGTGCTGTGTTCGAGCCTTTTGTAGTAAGATACAACCCTGAAAGTTTGTGTAAAGCGTGCCGAGCAACTGTACGAGAGCATCGAGATGGGGGTGGAACGCGGTGATCGAGACAGAAAAACATTATAACATACTACCACCCATGGCTTAATGCATCTCCCGTACGACCGCCGAGCACACTCCAGAAGTCAGTAAACAGGACATCATCAACACTGCATTTCTACATAGCCGCATGGTCGTGTGTGTGCATATTAGAAGACGCCAAAACCACTGCTGACGACTTTTTGGCACGCTTTGCCGCTTCAACAGGAAAAGCCACAGTTCACTGTGCAGTGTCATTCACTTAAAACCAACGAGGGACCCAACTGACGGTCATATTGGCTCGGTATCGCAGTGTAAGATCAAACAACGACCGCGAAGCCTCGGAAGACAAAAGAGGGACATAGAACGAGAAAGAAAAACTTGGAAGGACTTCCTCGAGACGTCCTGGGCACGGAAGGAGGCGAAAGCAAACTCGTCCGCAACACAACAAAGGGAAGACCACATGAAGAGCCCACGTCACATCCAAGAGGCAGAACATGCTTGTGGGCGGGCACAAGCAGCAGCAGCGGCGGCGGCAGCAGCAGAAAGAAGCACATGGTGCTCGCCGATGTGGCCGTCACCAGCGTCACTGCCGCACACGGCTCTATTACCGAGGCAGATTTCGCAGCAACTGGCCTCCTCTGGTGGTGCATACGAGTCAAGTCACCGTACAAGCCTCAGCGGGAGCAGTATGGGAAGTGGCAAAGGCAACGGAAACGACTTTGGCTTTTGGCAATGTCCTCATCCCAGCGATGTAACAATGGTGCCGAAAATTGCCGAACTGTGGCCACGGCCCGCGAGCGAGGCCTCGTCTTCATCGTTCTGGCTCGATGACTACTGGAACGCGGCCGTGGCAGACTGTGACGACCCAGACGAGGACGACGATTTCACCTTCTTTCCTAGGCAAACGGATGACCAGCCGTATCACAAGCAAAACAACTTAGTGCTGCCTCCAACGTGGCTGCCCGGCGTCCTTGACGATGACGGTGTTGAGCCCGTACCATGGCCGACAACATCACGCCAGTCTCGTCTTTCCTGTCATTCTTCGTCGTTTCACTACCTGACAGCCCAGCAAAAGGCCGCCCAAGTAGCGCTGCGCGACGAGCGACTACATTGGACCGAAGCGATTCCCGGAGAGCCGCAAGTCATGTGTCAGTACCAACGGCAATATCAACTCCGTCTCCATCAGCAGCAGCTGCAGCAGCAGCCACAACTAAATCCACCGGTTGTTGCGCCTCCCTCTACTACCGCTCCTGCAGTGACAAAGACCTTCAAGCCCATGCAGATGGTCTTCCGCGAGCATCGGCGGACCTCGGCTAGTAGCACGGGCACGAGCAACAGCGGCGGAACAGGCACCGGGACAGCCACCACGGCGATGACGGCTGCGACAACAGATACGGCGTTTCGTGATGCTATCATGCACCAGCAGACACCCGCAGCAACTATCGTTGCCACTGCTCGACGCGGGTCATCGTCATCAGCCTCGCAGTATCCCCAATTCCGGCCGCCCCTGTCTTCATCGCCGTCACCCCCGTCTGCGGCCTCAATGGCGTCCTTGGATGGAAGCGCCCCCGTCCTTCCGCTGGAAGAACAGGTCTTCCGTCGCCAGCAGGGCATCAGTCTCAACTACCGCGGCGACATCCGCAACCCACACAACCGCGGCGACCACGTCCCCGCCCACCTCAATACCTCGCTCTTTCTGATGGGCCTGCCGCCGCAGGCTACCGTGGGTGACCTCCTGCACGCCGTTGCTGCCCTGGGCCCCACGGGCCGCGTCTATGCCGCCTCTGTCAATCCGTCCGACCCGGCCCGCCGCCTGCCACTGGCCGCCGCCAAGATTTCCTTTTTCACGCGCCAGCAGGCCGAGCGGCTCAAGGCCCTCATCGACGCGCAGCAGCTCGTCCTGTTGGACTCGAGAACTGCGGGCGCCGCTCACCCGAGTGCGGGGGGTGGTGGTGGCCGCCCCTTCCCCATCCGCTGCGCGTGGAACCGCGACAAGAAGCCGCCGCGGCAGTGCGTACAGGCGAGTGAGTGTCGCGTGCTGCGGATCCGGGGCCCTGCAGACGTCGTCAACTTTGAGGCGCTGGCCGCGTACTTTGACGAAAAGTTCCGGTACGAGCTGCAGGACGTGCGTGTCGTGCCAAGCCCGGCTGCAAACGGCGACAGCAGCAGCAGCAGGGGCAGCAGCAGCAGTAGTGGTTCCAGAAGCAATCGTCCGTCGAGCGGTGGCGCGTTGGGCGACGAGCAGACAATGGAGTGGCGCTTTGCGAGTTTCCAGAGCCAGGCCATTGCAGCCAAAATGGCGCTCAACCAGGAGCGCAAGATGGTGCGCGTCGAGTACGGGCGGGATCCGTGCGAATGGGGCGAATGTTCATAAACATCAAGACCGGGATATGGTGATTGGAAAATCATGGAAAAAAATCCCCAAGGCCTGACAGGAACTCAAGGGAAAGGAAAGCCACACGATAGCTCAAGAAATAGCGATAGGCTCAGACTTGTTCAAAGCCACATTCGACCACAGTCACAACACTGGGAAAAGGGTTCAGAGCGTCGCGGCCAGACTTGCCTGTGATCGGCGTCAATGGGATTCTGCATGCCTAGCTGTATCTCCTGCCGTCTCGACGTGAATTTATATTATAACGAAGATATTTCGAAACAAAAATGGAAACGAAACTCGTGCTCTGCAGAGGCTGGCATAATTCGTTCAAAAAAGGCAAGTCCAGCCAAGACAACAACCCTTGGAAATGCTGCCCATTATTTTAGCAGCGTCTTACAGAGAGGCCTTGCCGGCTATTTTAGCGCTACAATGAGGCATGTGAATGTTGGGTACAAGTCACCACTAAAAATATCACATCCCAAAGCCGTTCCAGCCATTTGCAACATTTTCAAGTTGCCTATCTCTCGTGACAACAACCACCATCAGCAATGCCACGATCTGACGAGGCCGAGTCCTTTTTCTTTGCCGCCTACAGCGCCATTCAAGAGGTGCCTCATGGGAAAGTGACCAGTTATGGACACATAGCAAAACTCATCGGAACCCGTGAGTTTTACAGCGTTCACCTTGACCGCTTTATGCCACAAGTCAGTCGCTGACCCCTACTGCAGCACAACGGCCCCGCCAGGTTGGCATCTGCTTGCGACACCTGCCTGAAGAGGGCAATGTCCCTGAGGGCATGCTGTCACGCTTCCACACAGGTACGGTACCATGGCAGCGCGTCATCAGTGCCAAAGGCGTCATCTCGCCTCGCGGATTAGCCGCGGGCGGAGCGGGCAGCCGGAACCGACAGGCGGCGGCGTTGCAGGCAGAAGGCGTGGATGTGATTGCGGATGCGATGGGCGAGCTGTCGGTGGACCTGAAGCGGTACGGCTGGTTTCCACGACAGCTGCCTTCTGAAGCAGGAGAGAGACGGGATGGAGGCGAAGGAATCGACGGAGGCAACGGAGAGGATGGAGACGTAGAGGTGAAGGAAGAAGACGTCGAGATAAAAGAGGACAGCGATTGAAGTCGGGGTGAATGGTAGCTTGGATCTACGTGGACAGTGATCACAACGTCACGAATATTACGAATATTACGAATGTAATAGAACGGATCAAAGTTGCATAAACAATCAAAATTTGTCAAATTATATTCATCTTTACTGTCATAGAGTCATCAGTCGTTTCGTTATGCATCTTGGGAAGGATCTGTCAACAGTTAGTCTTTGATACTCAAAAGAATCAAGCAGTTAACAAAACGAAACGTGCAAGCAAGACAAGTGTCAGATAGCGGTTGGACTATTTATCCACATGAAATTCAGAACAGGTCTGTGAAAAGTGTTTTCTCATCATAGAAGTCGAGCAAGCGGTAAAGAGGACACAGAACAATAAAGAAAGCACGTACCAATTAAGATGGGCGTGAGAAGCCTCGCCGGCCGGCCACCGGTCCTCTCACGCACCATCCCCTCGCTTCCGCTTCTTGGCAGAAGGGCCAAAGAAGGCGTCCATCGTCTTCTGCTTCGGGTCAAACCGAGCACTGCCAATGCCACCACGGGTTTTTTTCAGCCCGTCAAGGTGCTCCACACAGTTTACTTTCGTAACTTGCAGTCGGATACCATCAGCATGTCGAGCGGTATCCCCGTTCTTTTCGTCCTCCGTCTCCTCGGCCTTCCTCTTGGTCACAGACAGAACGAGATACCCCGTATTGCTCCACGGAACACGCAGTTCTAATCGTCTTCGCTGTGCTGCGTCACTACCACCGACAGCCAGGGACGGTGGCAACAAGCGTGCAAGCTCCAACGGCGCGTAATACTGTAGCAACGACGACAGGGCCACGTTCAGGATAAGACCGTGTGCCACAACCACGATGGCCCGTCGACGATCAACAACCTTGAGTGGGCCCTCTGCACCAGCATCCAGAAGAGGATGCAGGTGCGTGTCGATAAACCGCTCTGCACGCACGCGCATTTCGTCCCGTGACTCGGCATCGGCAAAGGCATTTCGGCCTCCATCAATGTCACCAGCAGCCGGTGCCCCAAATCGGACGCCCTCGCCCGAACGAAAGTCTCGCTCGCGCAAGTCGACCGACTTGACCACGTCCATCGCCGCGCACGCCTCGCTCCCGCCTCGCTTCTTCTGGGCGTTGAGGATGGCCGAGGCCGTTGCAAATGCGCGCTGAAGATCCGACGAAAAGATGTGCGTGATGACAATGGTATCAGCCGACGAGCCAATCGCCGACGGCATCGCAGCAATGTGGGCACCCAGTCGCTGTGTCTGGAGAACGCCATGGGCAGTCAGGGCAGAGTCGCGAGAACCAGCACTGCAGTCGGGAGAAGAGAAAAGAAGAGGAAAAAAGACGGGAAGACGCGTGAGTTCAGGAAAGAACAGGCCTTGGAAACGCGCGGCAAACCACGAGAAGGAACCAGAAAAAGAAAAGCAGGAAACTCAATTCTGACTGACTAGAGACCAGCCACGTTGTCGACTGACTCGCCATGGCGGACGAGGATGAGACGCATTTCTGCTGTCGTCAAAGGACGTCGCAATACGTTTTCGGTTTCGATCAATCGAAAGGCAGAAAGAGCTTGTCCCTTGCCAGATGGCAGCGGGTACCTTCTCCTGGTTTCTTCTCGTGGTTTGTGGCCCTGGGGTGGCAGCTGATTTGGTTGGGTACAAAAAATATCCAGAAATAAGAACGGATGAGGAGAACGAAAAAAGATTTTTGGAGAAAAAAGAATTTTCTAGCTGTTGAAATAGGGACGCAGGAGCAGAAAATAATGGCGGTGAAAAGTGGCAGAAACAGAGCACCGCGGTGGTGAAATGAGGCAGAGCCAATTTTAGCTTGGAGCTGTATTTGCTCAATAACTTCCGAACAGAGCTGTTTATCTGGCGTTCTCGATATTAACTTATCAAGGGTAATTTTCTTCTCTCTCTTCTTTTTTTTTTTTTTTTTTTTTTCCATTAAATCCAGTAAGAGCTCATTTTTATTTATTTACTCATTTTTATTTATTTATTGTAATAACGTAGTAATAATGAACTAAAATGTATTGTCTACATAAGCAAATCAATAAAGGAGATTACAAACGCAAAGCTGTGTGAACGTCTATTTCATCTTGAAGAAACTTGGAGAGTACGAGCAACACAACTGTGTAGCTTCTTATAAAACATTATTTATTTGCTATGCCTAACGTATAAGACCAAGAGTCGACGTGTCACAAGTCTAGTGTTCGTCTTGTTTGTGAGTGTGGGTATCATGTCATCGTCGAAGCGGCTCAATTCTTGCTTTTTCCGCTTTCCTTCTCCTCTCAACGGATATGCTCCTTCTCTTGCTGTGGCTGTAGTGTTTTCCGTGGCCAGTCCGGGCAGATGTCGATGCGGTCGCGTGGCCACCAGAACTCGCAAAACAGGTACAATAGGTAGTCGATCACCACGCACAGGCAAAATAATTTGCCCGCCCAGATGCCGCAGCCGTAGTACCGCTTGAGGCGGTCAATGAGCGCAAAGCTCTGCACGCCCGAACGCCCACGCGTCGCGCTCCAGCCACCCGCCGTACCACCACCGCCGTTGCCGCTGTTCGTGGCCATGTCGTAACCGTAGAACTCGGCCTCGCTGATGGCGCCCGTGATGCCGTTGTAGACGCGCTCGGTTCGTGCCGCTACGTTGGTCCATGAGTACATGGCTTTGACCTGCTCGTGGAAGCGCTCTGTGCGCACCTTGTTGGCCCGCAGCGCCCCAATGGCACGCCCTGTCGCGGCCACCAGGTCGTCCTCTTCGGGCCGCGCAAACACGGTCATGTGTGACGGCAGCACTTCGGGAATGCCACCAACCTGCGTGCATACGACGTACAGCCCGCAGCTGGCGGCTTCGACAATGACAGTGCCAAAGGCTTCGGTCAGACTGGGGTGCAGATAGATGTGGCCGCGGACCATCACGTCGCGCACGTCCTCGTGACGCACGGGTCCGAGCATTTCGACACGGTCTTGCAGCACGTTCTGCTCAATCATTTGTTTCAGGTCAATGGCCTTGGGGCCGGACCCGGCAATAATGAAGCGTGTGTTGGGATGGTTTTCGAGGATGCGTGGAATGGCGGCGACGAGAAGGTCGGTACCCTTGTTGTAAAAGAGGCGGGAGATGACAACGATTGTGATGGGATCGTGTGGGCTGAGAAGGTGGGCGGGCGTGGGCGGCGAAGCCGCTTGGCTGACAAACGATGGTTTGGGAGGTGAGGTGCCATTTTGCGTGGAAGAGGACGAGGACGGGCGATGCAGCGTCGGATGTTGTGATGACAGCGGCCCACTCCCTGATGCATTGCTAGTCAAACTACTAGATGGCCCGGACTGTTGTGTCTCGCTTGCTGTTGCCTTGTTGCCCTGGCTTGCCTGGCTGTCCTGACTCGTGTGTCGCCGATGGTGACGGTCCTGGTACTGGCTCTGCAGGTGCTGCTGCTCCTCGGTTGACAGCGGCTTGAAGTTTTCCGCGACCACAGCGTTGGGGATAACTGACACCAGCAGCGGATCGAGCGATGCCCTTAACACTGTATTCTCCTTGCAAGTGTGGCTGACGCAGATGACGTGGTCGACATCGCTGAGCCCAAATTTGAGCAGCTTGTTGGCGAGGATGCTCGTAGCGTCCGCAAAGCCAAACAGCGAGTGATCTGTGTAGACGGTGCGCAGACCCATGGTGCGCGCGTGCAGAATGGCCTCATGGCAAAGACTGCTGAGACTGGCGTGGCCATGCACAATGTCAATCTGCTCGCGGATGACAATGTTGCGGAAGAGGGGGAAGAAGGAGAAGACTGTCGGGAACGTGGTCGAGCGGTAGATGACGAGGAATGGCACGTGGTACACCTTGATGCCGTTGGTCAGGTAGCGCACGCCCTTGCGGTCACCGTACTCGTGCGTGATGATGACGACCTTGTGGCCGCGGTCGATGAGCTTCGATGCGACTTGGTAGATGTGGCTTTCGACGCCGCCGGGTTGCGGGAAGAAGAAGTCGCTCACCATGGCGATGTTGTATGTGCGGCGCGTCATGGTGGGAAATGGGGCAGGCCGAACAGGCCACTCACACGAGGGTAGGCTGTGGTGCTTTGAGTCGAGATGTTATTGATCCAAGGCCGGGATGGCAGACGGGTGACGTTGACGTTGGGAAGCTTAATGTGTTGTAGTGAACGCGGCAGTGCACGGGCCACGTGATGGTCAGGGGTAATTTGGGCCAAAAAAGGCATCAATACAGGTAGGTACAGGGGATTTAGTGATACTGTGCCTCGTTCCTGCCGCTACAACGGCAACTGTAGCGGTTATCGTATGGGCCTAAGAAGGTCCAATGGACGCAATTACGAGCAACAAACATTTTAAAAAGGTAAGGAAGGAGCAAACGAGAGAAACAGGAGAAGAGAACTCTGAAAATTTGGGTAAAATTGTAGACACTCAAAACACAAACACTCGCCTCATAATTTACAAGATTGCAAGCTGTGTACTATATACAAATGTTTGTTCTCTTCTGGCGACCTGGCACGATCGCCTAGCTCGCTGTCTGTCGGAGCAGGAACCTCGTAGCCCATTCCGAGGCGCTTTTGACAACGACCGTCTTCCTGAAAGTTGGTAACCCCTGGCTTTCCCATGCATCGAGGAAGAGTGCACGGTATGGCGCTAGGTTGAGCATCGCGCCCGACAAGATGAGCATGTCAGAGCTCGGCGTGCACAGACGTGACGTGGCGAGGCGCTTGATGCTTACAACGAGGCTCGACGCGGCGTTCTGGAGGATATCAAGTGCCTGGGTGTCGGGCGTGGCATCATCGTCGTCGGGAAATGCTAGTGCGGTGACGACGCGCGCGACCTCAGCAATCTGATGCTTGGGCTCGCGATCTGCGTTGTACAAGATGAGCGGCAAGAGCTCTGCAGGGTCGTTCGTACCAAGTGCTGTCAGCACAGCCTTCTCGAGGTCAGACGCTTCGTCGGAAGCGTGACCTTGGTCAGGAAGATCCTCTCCAAATAGGCCAGCCTCGTCCGCCAGGAGCGCCATGTCTGCGAGCACGGCCTGCAGTGCCCGCCGGCCGATGTCAAAAGCGCTGCCATCATCGCCCAGCAGATGGCCCCAGCCGCCTGCACGACTGACCTGATCGACGGAACCGTCGGGCCTCTTGCGCACGGCCACGGCTACCGACCCCGTTCCGGCAATAACACACAGGCCACCCTGTACACTGTCATCGACACCGACACAGGCTCCGAGGAGAGGCGCATCACTCGTCATTCGCAGGCTGCCGTCGCGAACCGAGACAGACAGCAGGGTTTCGAGTCGGTACGCAAGTGCAGCAGGGTTATATGAGTAGTGAAGGCCGGATATTCCGGCCCACACCCTGGAGAATCGTGGGACATCTGTCTCGGGAACGAGACACTGCTGTTTGTTTTTGGTGCTGGGTCCTGTCTGGTTATTGCGCAGATTCGTCAGGGCACTCAGGGTTGCCGTGCGAATCTGTGTCACCAGCTCGTCGGGGGTCGCGCAGGTGATATTGCACGCGCCGGCCTCGCCGTGCGCGATCTGGCCAGACCGTGTGGCCACGGCGACCTTGCAGTTTGTGCCGCCACCGTCAATGGCGAGCACGAGCTCGTCATTGTGGCTGGGCAAGAGAAGGGGTGATGGTTGCGACAGGGCCAGGAATTCATAGAAGCGGCCATTGACGCGTTCGAGGCGTTCGAGCGCAGCTGCTAAGTCGAGCCCTGACACTGCAACAGCACAAGCCAGTTTGACGTTGACCTGACAGAGCTGGATGTGAGAGTCAATGACTGCATCTGCGGAAGGCGACGAGAGATCGACTAGATGAGGTATTTGTATTGATTTAACATCTTGCGGTGTGGATAGAGACGAACGGCCGGTGCTGTATGTTTCTACCTTGCCGAGTAGGTAGGCTGGACCTCCACCGCAGACTTGACGGAGTATGCGTCTGCCGCGTACCCGTAACTTGTGGTTGCGCGCGCGCACATCGAGCATCAACCCGCGGTATGTCTTGCCGAGACGCACCATGGTGATGGTGCTAATCATGTTGAGTATCTGTTTTGCCGCTGTGCCAGCCTTGAGTCGAGTGCTACCGGCGATAAACTCCGGCCCCGTCAACGCCTTGACCAAGTACTGGACTCCCAAGCGCCCAAAACCCGATGGCTGGCAGTTGGTGATGCCTGCAGTCAATGCGCCCGCATTGCGTGCAGCCCGCAGTGCCCCGAGCACAAACGGCGTACGGCCCGATGCAGAGATGCCAATGATGGCGTCCTGTGCCTTCGGCTGCATGGCCTCGAGCGCGGCAGCGCCATTAGACTCCGAATCTTCGGCATCTTCGCGTGCTTGCATCACTGCACGGCTGCCGCCGGCTACGAGAGCAATGAACTGACTTGGGTCGTCGGAGAACGTTGGCCCCATTTCGGAGCAGTCCATGGAGGCGACACGACCGCTGTTGCCGGCACCCACATAAAAGACGCGGCCACCAGCCCGTAAGCGCTTGACAAGGGCGTCCACGAGCGCCGAAATGACGGGCAAGGCAGCCGTGATAGCGGGTAGTACGCTGGACTCGTGGTTGATGAACTCAGCGCACAAGTCGGCTGTGCCAAGGGTGTCGATGCGCTCGGCCCATGCTGCATCGCAGCTCTCCGTCTGCAACTGGTTCAGCGATATGGTGTCGCCTAGTTCCGCTGTGACAGTATCGAGCTCCGAGTCAGGCGACGAAGGACGGCGAGCCGGCTCTGCGTGGCCGTTCGGCATACTGTCCTGCAGGCTCATTATATTTGGTTTGCCGCCGCCTCTGCTAGTGTGATCGCCATTCTGCAATGTCTTGTCTTGTTCGAGAGGGAAGCTCATGGAGTGGTCTTCGCGGACGAGACCGGTTGCATGTCCGGTTGGTGAGGAGCCACGGTCTGATAACGCAATCGTGGCTGACATGTTTAGCGTGGCAAGGAATGGTCCTCGTCGTGCCTCACGTCGACGCAGCGAGTAATTTGTTCGGGAACTGGACTGGCTCCCGATTTAATACCGTATGCTATGCTGGACATGGCCGCGGAAAATGGTATCATCTGAGCTAACATGATATAGGAGATTGGAAAGCGAGGATTCTGCTCGAGATGCGTCGCTGCAACGGATACCGGCTATGTCTGGGGGGCCCTCCTCTTGGAGGCTGTTTTTACGACTGAGAACGTCGTAAGTACCATTGACGCGATGTTGAAAGTGTCCGTTGTACGACAGCCGGCGTGTGGTTCGGATATCGCGCCTTAGTCAAGCTTCGACTAATACCGGATGTCGCTTTCATCCGCTACTCGATGATGTGATGGCGCCGCCCGGTTCTTGGCTCCAATTTTTTTTTTCCAAAACGGTTGCAATTTGTATCCGCCAACCACGCGACAGTAACTTACAGCAACCTTCTCGTTTCGCACGTATGCCTATTGCACTTTGTGTGTTTGCATGATTTCGGGGTCGACGCACTGTTCAGGATTTATAAAATGCAGTGACATCTCTGCATGGACCAACGACAGGGTCCAGATTTGTGCCGGCAAAGCGCTTGCTTTGTGTGTTTCTTCTTGTTGACCGCCGTTCTGACGACTCAATCTTTCGCCTTCATCTTTCACCTTTGCTTCAATATCTTGTCTCTACATTTCCCGTCGCCAGCATGTCCTCGCACGTGTCTCTCGAGGCGCCGCGCGCGCATGGCGTCTTCTACCGCCTGCAGCACGATCCTTGGTTCCAGATCGGCCTCATCTCCTTCATCTCCTTTTGCAACCCCGGCATGTACAATGCCCTGACAGGAATGGGTGGCTCGGGCCAGGTCAACAGCACCGTGGCCGCCAACTCCAACGTTGCCACACACGCGGCCACGGCTGCCGCCGCGCTGGTCCTCGTCGGCGCCTTTTACAAGTACATGGGCCCGCGTCTATCGTTGCTCATTGGCGGCTGGACCTATGCACTGTACGCCGGCGCGCTGCTCAACTACAACCGCACGGGCAACGGTGCCTTTGTCATTGCCGCGGGCGCACTTCTTGGTCTCGGCGCTGCCTTCTTCTGGGTTGCCCAGGGCACTATGATGGTTACGTACACGGACGACCGCACCCGCGGCCGTGCTATTGGCCTGTTTTGGATCGTCTTCAACCTCGGCGGCGCCATTGGCTCGCTGGCCAGCTTCGGTCTCAACTTCCACTCGTCGTCCGGTACGGTGACCGACTCGACGTACATTGCGTACATGGTGATTATGCTGTTCGGCTGGGCGCTCTCGATCTTGGCGGTGCCTGCCGAGTCACTATCGGAGCGCTACAACGGCGCGCGCGTTACTGCGGCGGCCAAGGCGATTACGTGGGCGCACTTGCGCCGCTCTTTTGTGCAGACGCTGCGTATCGTCGTCGACTGGCGCGTGGCTTGCCTGTACCCCATGTTCTACAACGCCAACATCTTTTACTCGTACCAGCAAAACGACGTCAACGGCCTTGTCTTCAACCTGCGCACGCGCGCCTTGAACGGCGCGCTGTACTGGATCGCCCAAATGTTTGGTGGCCTGTTTATGGGATCCGTGCTCGACTGGACGCGTTTGGGTGGCCGCCCGAGGCGCGCCCTCGTTGGATGGGCCATTCTGTTCGCGACCGGCATGGCCGTCTGGGGAGCCGGCTACAAGTTCCAGACCTGGGCGGACGCGCGCTTCGCCAAGGGTCTCAAGCAAGACGTTGACTACACGCAGTCCGGCACCGCTGCAGGGCCCATGCTGCTCTACTTCTTCTATGGCGCCTACGACGCGCTGTACCAGGGCTTCTGCTACTGGATCATTGGTGCACAGTCACACAGCCCTACGGTCAACGCCGTCATTGTGGGCACGTACTCGGCGCTCAAACCGGCTGGTGGCGCCATGGCGTGGCGCATCAATGCCGTGGGCGTCAGCGCACGCACGCAGTTCTACATGAACTGGGGCTTGACCATGGCGAGCCTGGCCGTGGCGGTCCCAAGCGTGCTGTCGGTGCGCAAGACGATTGACGACCAGGAGCTGGCAGCCGTGGACAAGGCCGACGAGGTGGATGTGCAGTCGGCGGTGGAGACGAAGCCTGTGGAGGCGGACACAGAGGTGGGGGCCAAGGTGTAAGTAATCGATAGCTGTACGGAGTGCTTGTATGACATTGGGCATCTGTATAATAATGTAGGCGTAATGTCTAGAGAGTTGACTTAAATGGCTGGGCATAATTTATGATCCTATGTACACTTTGATTCGCCTACTCACGTAATGACCTCTATGCTACCATTATGGAGGCTCACTTTACAGTAGAGTATTTACTGAATGAAGTTCCTCCTTCTTGGCATTGTAACCCATCCTCTCCTAGGATAGTCGCAACCTCCACGTCTACCCTTACCTACAGGCCCGAAAACACCTGGGCGCCTGGAAGCGTGGGCGAACCGTTGTACAGGCCATACAGCGAGGACAGGAGCGTGCGAGTTGCGTTCAGCCACGGCTGCTGGCCGGCCGTCGCCTGGCATGCGTCGTTGCAGACGGCGTGATTCTTGCCGCCCCAGATGATGAAGCCAGCCAATGATGCACTCTGGGACGCCAGGTAGGTGAGCTCTTGCTGCCACAGATCGACAGGGAAGAACGAATAGTTGCCGTGGTACTGCGGCCAGGTGTAGGGTACAATGGGCACCGAGCTGTTGATGGCATGGGCAGTGGCCGTCACGGTCGCCAACGAGCTCTTCCAGGTCGAGAAGCTGTTCGTGAAGGTGTAGGCCGAGGGGAAAAAGGCCGTGGGCGTGTGGTTGGCAATGAGGGTGCGGTAATGGTCGTAGAAGGCGGTGTTCGTGTTGCCAACGAGGCCGTACCAACCCGCAATCGAGTTGGCTGGCAGGACCTGAGCGGCCCATGTCTGCAGTGTGGAGAGCCACAGCAGATTGGTGTCGGCGGTGGCCGCATTGTTAAAGTAGAGCTGCTCGCAGTCGAGAACAAGTGGGTAGCCCGGGTAGGTGATCCATTGGAGCACGGTGGCCTTCCAGACCGCCTCGCTGGGCAGAGAGCCGCCGGCCAGCAGCGGCGAGCAGACGTAGTTGGGGATCCAGTTGATGTTGGACGTGCCAAAGCCGATGGACGTGTTGGTGTAGGCCGTGTTGTCAAATACGCGGAAGGCGGTGGCCGACGCGGCCAGGCCCGCAAGGGTGGCGAGAATAGAGAGGAGCTTCATGACGGGGTGGAGATGAATATAGCAAGGATATCAAAAAGGTGACGGTGCCTGAGAAGGGTGAACAGTTATGGGGGTCTGTGCCGATGTTGATTGAGTCGGCTGCTCTGTTCTTCTCTTGCTGCTACTGCTCTTTATACAGACAGAGGCCGTGGCACGCCATCTATTGTCGCAGTGTCGAAAGCTAGCATTGCATTGCGGTTTCTGGGTCCCTTGTTTTTCTTGTCAAACCGTAGCTCTGCTAAACGTCGGTGATCCTGGTAATGGCATCACGAGTTCCTGACTTGGCACAGGATGCCGGCTTCCCTCGAATTTCGACACCCGTTGAAATGCCAAGGCGTCCGCCGACATCCGCTGGCGCAGTAGCGCATCCAGATGGCGGGTCTGGCTCTGAGATCCTGACGCAGCCAGACCTGACCGGACCTAGTGAGGATTAGCACCATCGTTCCCCAGTTTGACCTTTTCTCATCCCATGTCGGCCTTTCCATTTCTGTCCATTCCTCGCCGTCTAGACGGGCTCCTCTTTTGGCACTATTTGGACCTCTACATCTCTTATCCATGGCGACAATGCGGAGAATGATCGCGTGCTGCATCTGACTTTAATTGTAGCTCGTTTCCTCTTTTCCGGGGCCGTCCCTTGATGCCACCCACCAAGCAAGCTTGATTTGCAGCCACGAGCATTCGCCTGTCGCTCGTCGGTTGTCGCTGGTTTTCGTCGAACAAATACCCTCTTCCGGCCGAAACGCATCTCGCCCTCTTTTTGGGGGTTTTTTTTCTTGGAGAACGGATGTCGAGATGGAGTCGGTCAGCTGCATTATCTGCCGAAGGCGGAAGGTGAGTCTCCTTGGTGGAAGGCGAGAGGTGGAAGGTGCAGGCGGGCACAGACATGGTCGCACTTGCCAGGACACGACCCAACATCCATTGTTCCTTCCCGTTCCCGCTGACAATTCACCTGTTACGCAGATCAAGTGCGACCGGCGACCCATAACGTGTGCCAATTGCGCCAAGTTTGGTGCCCCTTGCAGCTACCGCGAGGCTCCTTCCGCCTCTGCCACCGCGACTTCCGCTTCCGAACCGGGTCTCGGTGTTCATCACAACCAACGTGGCGGCGCCCTCTCATCCACAGCCACAACGACCCAGGCCGGCCTGCAGCGGCGACGGATTCTGCGCTCGTGCACGGCATGCAAGCGGGCCAAGGCCAAGTGCTCGGGCGGCACATCGTGCGCGCGCTGCATCCGGCGGGGCGTTGCCTGCGTGTACGAAGGCAGCCGGGCAGATGCGTCTGTTTCATCGACGACGACGACGACGACTCCCGCTGACCAGGTCCTACAACTGGCTCCGGCTCCAGCTCCGGCCGTTGCTCCAGAGATTATGTACCGATCTGCGGCCAATGACAGCAGCATCGCAGGCGACCCGTCGGACACGTTTCCGTCGCCCGACTCGGCAGGCCTCGTTACGCCACTGCCAGTAACAGTTTCATCATCAACATTGCCATCACAGCCCTCGCATCATCCAGAAGGCGTCTCCGCCGTACCGGACTGGCTGCTTGCACCGGGACTGCCACCCATGGACCGGCTGCGTGGCCTCCTTGCCACCTACTTTGCCCGCATCTATCCGCTGCGCTGCTTGGGGTTTCTGCATATGCCGACGTTCTTTGAGCGGCTGCGCGACCCGCAATCGGTCTACGCCGACGAATATGGCCTGATAAACGCCATGTGTGCCTTGGCCGCGCCGTTCCACTGTGTCGACAGGGCCGGTGTGTCAACAGGAACATCTCCAACGTCCGCGACGGCGCCCACCCGCTTCTACGATGCTGGAAGCGGCTGGGCGGCGACGGCCATGCAGCGCATATTCCACCACCTCGGCACGCCCGATGTCGAGAGCTTGATGACCGAAATGCTCGTGCACGAATATTACCTGCGCAACGGCGAGTATGCCAAAGCATTTATGCTGTCGGGCATCGTCGCACGCCATGTCCAGGTGCTGCAGCTGAACCTGGAGCACGACCACGACCTGCCGTCCCAGCAGCGAGCACGCAGCGCGGGTGGAGGCGGCGCCGAAACCATATCGTGGTCCAGCAAGGAGTGCCGGCGCCGGCTGGTGTGGTGCTGTTTCCTGCAGGACGCGTTCATGGAGTGCGGCATCGACCAGCTGCGCTTTGTCAACCCGGCCGACATCCAGGTGCAGCTCCCCTGCACCGAGGAGCTGTTTGTACGCAACAAGCCCTGCGTGACCGAGATGTTGACGCCCGGCCAGCTTCTGCCGTTTGTTGACCCGACCACAGCCGGTACCGCCGCCCACAATCTGGACCTGCGCGCCTATTATATTCGCGCCATGGCTATCCGCGCAAAAATCCTCAAGTACGTCAAAAATCTGCGTGGCGACGTGCCCTGGTCCCCGGACCCGCGCGTGAGCCGCTTCGCAAGCCTCGACCGCGAGCTGCGTGCCCTCGAGGCGTCTGTGCCCGACGAGTTGCGCATGACACCGGAAAACACCTCCGTGTTCCGATGGTCGGGCGGATGGTCGGGGGCCAGCGGCTCGGGCCGCCTGGGGCTGTACTTTGGCTTGCATATTCTGCTGGCGCAGACGTTCAATGACCTGTACCGCGTGGGCGTCGCCAACCTCGTGTTCCCGCACCACGCGACACAATGGATCCGCGCCCATGCACCTCTCGACTTTTTGCTTCGCTGCCATCGCATGTGCAGCAGCAAGGCTGTTGTCATTGCGACGCTACTCGAAGAGCTGTGGCAGACTAACCGGCTGAGTCTGGTGGATACGCCATACGCGATGCACGCGCAGGTGTGTAGCAGCGTTCTGGTGATGACCATTAGCTCATGGCAGGCGCTGCTGAGGAGCTCTCGGGGTCGACGAGGTGGTGTGGATGACCGGGGCAGCTCGGCGGATGGATGCGACGGTGTCGAAGTCCCAGACGGCGCTGACAGTCTTGGAAACGGAAACGGAGATTCAAATGGCAGCAACGATCCGCTGGTCGTCCCCGCCTTTCTCCCGGAACACCGCCGCCTTTTGCAGAGCAATGTGACTGTCCTCGACTTTCTGCGGAGGTACATCAAAGCCGATCTGTACTACGAGTCGGCCAAACAGGCGCTCCGTCGGTTTGAGGAGCTCGAAGCTCGCGGCAGCAGAAGCACCAGCGGTGCGGATGACACAGCAGGTACAGCAGCGACCAGTGCAGCAAATGAATCGTCGCAGTTCTCGCTCGAATACATCTTGAACCCACTTGGTGTCTATCCTATGGCGCGGAAACAGGCGCGGAACCGCCACGAGCCTGAAGCGAACGTGGCAGCCAGCGCGTCCAAGGCAGATACGTCGACAAGTACGCAGCATGCGCAGGATGAAAAGAACACCAAGATGGCACAAAATACGCAACAGCAGCATACACAAAATTCACCAAACGTGCCAGGGTCCGACAATGTACCTGGGAGCATGATGCCGTATGCCTACCCACCGAGGCAACCCACGTATGCCGGCATGCCTCCGACGACGCTGCCGCCGGACCAGCATGTTGTGCAGCATGAGCAGGTGCAGCCAGCGCTGCCACCATTGCCGGAGCAAGCAATAGCGGGTGGGCTGGACACGGCCGATGCCACCCAGTTTTCACTGTTCCAGATGTGGGATTGGGAGTCGGAGGTACCCGGCATGGACAACATGGGCTACCCGACATTCCTCGACACGTTCCCGGTGGCTTCTCATTAGGTGTGAATCTTCTTGATCTAGTTTTATTTTTGTTTCTGGAGGCCGGGGATCAAAAGGAGTTGGACGGTTGGAAATGTCGGGACAGCTGATGAGTTTTCATTTAATTCTTCAATCTAATGACAACGCACGTGGATGAAAATGGCAATAATTTTTGACAAGATAACGCCCCTATTATGCCCATGACATGTGTCCTCTATATTTGTTGTTGTTGGCTTTCTACGTACTCGCGGTCTACTTCCTCCGCGTGTCGGCCGCTTCACGGCCCAGCTGCTCCAGAGCTTCTTCGTACGCTGCCAGCCGCGCTTCGCCGAACCAGGCACGCGCACCACCCTCGTCGTCGCCGTCTGTAGCGACCTGCTTCTGCTTCTTCTGTTTGTGCTCACGGTCTTCACCACCCACCACGGCTTTGGCTACCTTGTTCGTGCGGCGGACGGTGGATGCCGAGGATGACAAAGAGGCAAGCAGCGCTGACTTGTTCTTGCTGCTCTGGCCGGCTACTTCCGGCCAAAACCAGCCAGCCTCCTTCTTGGTGTACAGCGTCCACGCATGGCCCGCCCAGCCGGCGCGCGCTGTGCGGCCGACACGGTGGACGTAGAACTCGACGCTGGGCGGCATGTCGTAGTTGATGACGTGGTCGAGGCGGGGCAAGTCAATACCGCGGGCAGCCAGGTCGGTGGCCACGAGGATGCGAAGCTTCTTGGACGGTTCGGTGCCAAAGGTGCGTAGGGTCTTGCGGCGCTCGGATGTACGGGTCGTGGATGTGATTGTGCCAATCAGAGGCGCGAGATCGGGGGCGAGCAGGGCCAGGAGGCGGGACAGGCGCAGGGCGTTTTCGTTGGACTTTGTGAAGACAAGGACGGTGCTGTTGAAAGGGGCGACCGGGGTCGTTTTTGTCTTGTTTGATGTGGTGTCCTCGTCTTCGTCCGTGTCGCTGTTGCCGCTACTCGAGTCACTGTTGTCGCTGTCGCTGTCGCTGTCATCAACACTCGAAGCACTCGAGTCGCTCGAGGAGTCGGAGTCAATAGGTTCACTCGAGTCGCTGTCGCTATCGCTATTGCTATCGCTATCCTCATCACTGTCCGCAGTTGGCTCGGCTGTCGATGCCGCCTTGCTGCCGCTAGTAGCGCTGGCACCGGACAGCAGTGCACTCCGCAACAGGTCGACCAGGTACAGCGGCTTCTGCGACTCGTCGCGCACCTTAATGGCCGACTCCTGGAGACGGTCTGGTAGAACGTACGCGGCATCGTCGCCTTCGGTGGCCAGGCCCTGGGCCTGCCGGGCCGTGCCCTCGAGGATAATGTGCGTGGGACGGCTGAGGCGCAGACTGTTGAGCAGACTGAGATCGCGCGTCATAGTGGCGCTGAGCACGACTTTTCGGACGCCGCTCTCGCACGAGTCAGCAAAGTCGCGAGCACCGAGCTTTTCGTTGGTCTCAGAGTGGGACGCGGGGGAGGAAGAAGAGGTGGCCGCCAGCCTGTCCATGACAATCGTCAGCCACTGCTGGTAGCTCTGGCCCAGCAGCTTGTCGGCCTCGTCGACGACGAGCCAGCGGACAAAGTCGAGAGTGAAACCTGGCGTGGACTGAATGTGCTCGACGAGGCGGCCTGGGGTGCAGACGAGAACGTCGACACTGGAGATGTGTTGGATGACGTGGTTGGGGAGGGGGAGGGTTGATGAAGTGGGTAGGCCAATGGTCTCGACAGCTGTGTACGAGGTTGCAGAAACTCCTGTCGCAGTGGTGGACGTCTCTGCCGCTGCGTCCTCAGCCGCAAAAGGCCATCGCTGGCGGTTGCTAAGCAAGGCCCGGTAGCCCTCCGGATCATAGACTTGGTCCTCCTCCATCAGCGTGGCCTGCTCCTTTTTGAACGACTGGCTGCCCATGGCAACACCAATGCGAACCTTTTTGCCCGACGTCTTGCTGCCGTCTGTGGCCGAACCACTGCTGCCGCCGTACGCCCGTGCACACGTCTCGCAGACGTCCTGCACCTGCTGCACCAGCTCACGTGTTGGCACAACAATGACGGCGCGCAAGCGCGTGACGCCCCGTGTGCGGCTGATGTCACGAATCAGAGGCAGTACGTAGGCCAAGGTCTTGCCGGAGCCCGTGGCAGCCGAAATCACGAGGTCTCCGCGGCCGGCGCCTCTGGATGGCCGGCGGGAGGGTAGAAGCATAGGCACAACGGCAGTCTGGACAGCAAAGGCCTCGGTCCAGCCCTTTTCATCACGCAGGACCTTCGTCGCGCGCTCGTCGATGCCCAATTCGGGACTGATGCCGAGTTCGGCAAAGGGCTTGCGCGTAGTGGAGGCGACACGGACAGGGTCGGCCAGCCACGGTGGAAGGGTATCGTAGGCTGGGCGGGCGGTGCCTTCGGGGATGGGTGCGGGCTGCGGCAGGGGCTCGAGGCCGTGGAGTTCGGCTGGTTCGTTGGCGGCGTCTGCGCTGGCGCCGTTGTCCTCGCCACGTGCGGCAGTCGCTGGCGCGCGTTCTTGGGCCTTTTTGAGGGACTTGTTCTTCTTCTCAAGCAGAGCTTTATGACGAACGGACAGTTCCTCGACCTCTTGGGAGATGGCGGCTTCGTTCTTGGATTTTTTGTTCTTCTTTTCCCTTTTCGGTTTGTTTTCTCTGAACTGGTCGACCATTGGTGTGTCGACAGCCTGGGCGGGTATGGTGGTGGCTCTAGCAGGCTCTTCCGTGTCTACTTCCATCGGCTCTTCTGTTACCGCAGGCGGTGCCGGGGCCTTCTTGTCCTTGTTTTGTTCTTTCTTTTCTTCTGTCTCGCCGTCCGTTTTGCTATTTTTCTTTTTCTTCTGTTTTGGCTCGTCCTCGACCTCTTTCGTTTCCACGGGCACTTCAGTCTGCCCGTCTTCCTTGGTCTCTTGTATTTTCTCCTTTGCCGTGTCTACTTTCTCCCTCTCCTTCTTCTCAACCGTGTCGTTTTCTTCGGCATCGTCACCCTCGTCGTCATTGTCCTCGTCGTCGCCACCGCGCTTCTTGGACTTGCGCCTCCGCTTGCGTTTCTTCTTTTCGCCCGCCGGCGGAGCTGTTCCGTTTGTGCTCTTGTTCGCGTCCACGTCAGTACGAGGTGTCGACACAGCCGTCGACTCGGGCTCTTCATATGCCCGAGGCCGTTTGCTTGCGCCGGCACCACCCATCAGGCCCAGCCGGGCCGCAGAGACATTTGCGTATTCGTCGTCCTCAAAAACAATCTTCCGTTTCTGGGTTGCAGGCAGAGACGCGGCTGGTGTTGGTATGGGCTGTTGGGCAGAAGGTATCGGGCGAGCAGCCTGTTGTGTCGGTCGTGGAGGAGCAAAGCGGCTGGAGCTGGGAGAGCCATTGACGCCGTTGACAATGTCGGCGCCATTGGGGAGCGCGGTCGCCGGAGCCGGAGCCGGTTCTGCCGGCCGGGCCGTGCTGGCAGCATTGCTCTTGGGCGGAACCCAGCGTGCGTACATGGTGGGCAGACTGGCACGTCTGGTGTTGGAGAGGGAGGGGGCAGAGTCGAGGCCGAGGAATTTTGCATGAGCCCTCGTACGAAGACCTCCAAGGGAAAGACTATTATAGCGTAGACAGCAAGATTTTGCCGGCACGAAAGAGAAAGAGCGAAAGTCGATTCTGCCATGGCCCACCGCCAAATATTTTCAGTGGGTCTTGTTATCTTATCGCAGGCACTACTGGTCTGAAATACTTGTGAGGGGCCGCTAAATGCTGCCTCAACGTCGCTGTAAATTGCTCCATTACAGCGCGTTGCTCGTCACCAACTTTTCGGCTCATTCACTAGACTCTTATCTACACACGATGATCGCCCATTTAATGTGTGAACTGGCTCACTGGATAAGATTATTAACGGTAAAACAAGACAAGACTGACAAATTCAGAGCAGGACTATACTAATGAGATATCATGGATCATGGAATGAGACGGTATATGGCGAGAATCGACAAGACAACAATTGGACTGAAAAGAAACACAAACAAGTGACCTCCACTTCGGCCCTCACGACGACTCGGTCTGGCCCAGGGACCGCAGGGTGCCAATCAGCTGCACGCTGTACTCGACGTGCTGCAGCTCCTCGCGCGTCCAGCGGGCGCCGGCCGTGGTGCGCCAGGTGGTGACGTTGTTTTCGATTTCCTCGCGCAGCAGGTCGGCCTTGCGGCGCATCTCGCGGCGGCGGGTCTGGTCGTCCTCGTGGATGGCGTAGCGCTCGCCGTGGATGGCCAGCTCCATCTTGTAGAGCTCGCGCAGCATGTTTGTGGTGTCGCGGATGTCGGCGGGGGTGACGTCGACGTTGGACATGGCGTGCTGCTGGGTGGTCATCTGGGACGACGCGTGCTGTGGCGGCGGCGGTTGCTGTTGTCGGTGCAACGTCTGCGGCTGCTGCTGCTGCTGCTGCTGCTGCTGTTGGCGCTGCTGTTGGGTGGCCGGCTGCGGATAGGTCGGGGCGACGGCCTGGGCACCGCCCTTGGACTTGCCGCCCAGCAGGCTGTGGTGCGCTTTGGCCGACTGCTGCCCTGGCGGAGGAGGCGTGAACTGCTGCTGTGGCTGTGGCTGTGGCTGTTGCCGGGGTGGAAAGGGTGCGCTTCCGGGAGAGAACGGCTGCTGTTGTGCCTGGTGGTACAGGTTGGCATGCGATGACTGGTGCTGCGGCTGTTGGGGATGCGAGTACTGGGGCGGAGGAGTTGGGAAGGCCGACTGCGAGCTTGTCGTCCCTGCCGACTGTGCGCCGGCCGATCGTGGAGGTGGCGGGACATTGTTCGTGTTGGGGTCGCCGTGGCCGCTGTGAACGCTGCCGCCGGGGGACGTGAGGTCGTCGGCCGTGCTGGCCAGCGGTGGCGGGAGTGCGTTGAGGAAGCTGATGTCGGCGCCGTACGACGGGCCGCCGATGCTCCCGTTGACGCTCCCGCCATTTGCACTCGGACCGTTTCCGTATGGCAGCCCGATGCCGTTGCCAGCCGCGGCAGCACCGCCCAGTGGATTCGCCACATCCACGCCGTTGTAGAAGGCACCGGGGGGCGGGAATTGGTTCTGCTGCGGCGGCACATGCGATTGCTGTGGCATGCCGGCGGCTGGGAAGAATTGGCTCTCACCAAGACCACCAAAGCCTCCCGCACCTCCCGCACCTCCCGCACCACCCGGAGCACCACCACCTATGTATCCGGCAAAAATGGGCGGCGGCGGCGGCGTACGGGAGCGAGTGCTGCCGTTGGCCTGGCCGTTGCGCAGACTGAGGTCGGCCATGGACGGCAGGGGATTGCTGCTCCCGCTGCTGCTGCTGGACGGGCCACCTTTGCCGTCCTTGTGATAAGGTTGAGCATGTGTCTTTTGCGCCGTGGAGAAGAGGCGCTTCATTTTGCTCGTCATCGTGATGGTTACGTGTGTCGCAAGGAGAGACTTTGGTGTTGGCGATTCGGATAAGATGGAAGACGCGGAGTGAGGAGAGCTGAACCGCACGACCGAAGAGAGAGGCCCAAGACAAAGCCAGGCGTAAATTGCGATTAAGCAGCCTTGAGTAGGTCTGTCGAGGAAAGATAGACAACAAAAGATGTAGCGAACAAAAACCACCAAAGACAAGACTCACAATTCTCAGGAGCCAAGAAAGCTTTCCGGCTTCCAAAGCTGTTCAGCATTTGCTGGAGCTACGGAAGGAATTCGTTTCTCGAGCTCCCTCACTCCCTCCTTACCATTTGCTTCTCATGTCAAATGCTGGGGGCTGTGAGCCTCGCCTGGAACCAAAGCAATATTGTCGCTGCCGCCTTACCAGCGCCTTTCTCGTCGAGGCAGTGTAGCTTGCAGCAACCCCCAAAAGATACATCGTAAGGCAGGTCAAGGGGGGCGTGCGATTAGCAGCTGGCGGACATATTGAACAGGGGGCGCAGCGCTGTGTTCTGGCGCACTGTGCAGCTCATGTCTCCTGACGAGCCTGGAGCAAGCCAAGCTAGACCGTTTCAAGGCGGCCCGAGGCTCGCTAAAACACAGCGCCGACGACACCGACAGCGAATAAAGCAAACGTGTGGCAAGCTTGCTATCACGGCTGCACAAGAAGGACACAGACCTGCGCTGATTGCGACATTTGCAAAGCTTCTTCGTGTTTCTTCTCCCCCCAGCGACCCGACACCCGGGGCTGATGTTCCGTGCTGAAGAGACATATGTAAACAAAAGGGAGACGGAGTCGAAGAAGACTCAGTCCGTAGAAGCAAAGAGAAAGACGACAGGCGTGGCCTCGCCGGACAGCTTTGGCAGGTCTTTTGGTGGCAGTCTTAACTGGAGTGCTAGGCTGCCAATGCGTGGCCCCCGCATAGAGAGCCTACGATGTAGAGTGCCTGTGTCTTGTCTCGCCTGGGCCACTGAGATGCTGCCACAAGACAAGAGAGTCGCAACGGGCGAAACAGAGGCCGCGAAAAGAGCCTCCTGTGGGGAGCTCTCGAGCAGCCGTCGTCACCGCACTGTGGGCATTTGTGCCTTTTTGTCCTGTGTCAAGTCGTCCACAGTGGCAGGCACTGTCCCGGATGCAGCCTCCTGTTCTTGACCGACGAGACACGACCGATAGGAGGGCGCAGTCATATGCACCATGCAAGCCACATTGACGGGCCCTCTGTTGTATGGAGGAGGATAACCGTGTACGTCGGAAAGTAGGGAAACGCGAAACGGGCAAACGAGGGGAGCCGATCGGCGGTTTGGACCCCTAGGTGACGAGCAACTTCAGCCTCGTGAACGTGGTTTGCACGCCCCCCTCCTGTTGGAATCCCAAGGTCTCGGAGGATTGACATAGGCCTCTCAAGGATGTTTTGTGGGATGAGAAGAGACCTGTTGTTGGAATCTTTGGCGTTCGATAGTCCCAGTACGAGAGGTAGATAGTTTGGTAAGAATAAAACTATTTAAATTTTAAATTGAATTCAACAAGTACACTAAGTGGCATCCGCCATAGTTGGGTCATTGTCTGTTTGCTCTTGTACTTTGCCGTCGTCAACCTAATGAGCTCTTGCAGCACGAGCCATTTGCACCGCTCGTACTGTTTGCACCGTTTGCGCCGGTTGCCTTGCCGGTCACAACCAGCGTGCTCATTGTATCTGTTGCGTCGTATGCGCCGTCCTTTTTCGCCGCCCGAACCTGGCTCGGCGTGACCGAGTACGACGGCGGCACGTCCATCACCGGGTTGCTGGCAAAAAAGTGGCGCGGCCGCAGCAGCAGCACAATCGGCTCCGCCGGCATCACGGGGTAGTCCTCGGGCGCGGGGAAGTGCGTCAAGCCAAACGTGTGCCACAGCACCACGTCCGTGTTCACGACCGAGTCCGTGCCGGCGCCGATCCACGCCGGCAGCCCCAGCGACGGCTCGCCCGACGTCTGCGGCACGTGCCGGCCAGCCGGGTACAGCTGGTCGTCGGCGTACGCGGTGACGTGCACCGTGTGGCGCGCAAACGCCGCGCGCTTCCACACGAGCGACTGCGGCTGCGGTAGCAGCGTCGGCACCTCGCGGCTCACCAGCTTGTACGAGGCCGGCTGGCCGCTGTACGGGTGCACCGCGCTCTCGTTGACCATGTCCCAGGTGCGCATCGTCGCCCAGTCAAAGTCGGTCTTGGCCTGCGCGGCCGTCTCGAGCCGCGTGCGCTTGGCGTAGAACGCATTCCCGTACACGTTCTCGGCGCTGCCGACCGGGTGCGGCGACGGCACCGCGTCGGCCGTGAACACGGAGTTGCGGTGTCCGCCGCCCACGTTGGGGTTGATGCGCAGGCAGAACAGGTGCTGGTGGTTGTGCGCGTTGACGCCGGGGAACACCTGCGTGCCCCAGCCATGCGTGTCCTCGCCCGGGCCGATGACGTACGTGTTGAGGATGCCCGTGAGCCGCACGTTGGGCTCGATCGTGCCGTCTTGGTGGAAGATCCACTGCACGGCGTACTCGTAGTTGGCGGCCGTGAAGATGTGCTGCACAACCAGCTTGCGTGCGCGCGTGACCGTCGTCGAGTCGTCGCGGAAGTCGCTGTGCTTGAACAGGATGCCGTCGTCCTCCTCGTGGATGCAGACGGCATTCCTGATCGTGCGCACGCCGCCTGCGCGCGTCGGCATCGACGCGTCCAAGTAGGCGATGCTGCCCTTGCAGTCGCAGCCCAGAGACAGGCTGTTGGCCATGTAGCCCGCGCCATACTCGCCGAGATCGAACGCGTGCTTGCGCTGGTGCGGGTGCTCCGGGTTGCCGTACGGCACCACCATCTCGACGAGCGACATGCGGTAAAAGATGGGCCGCGGGCGGCCGTTGTCGACATAGCGGATGTTGTTGAACACGGCGCCTTCGCGGTAGTTGAAGCCCACGTGGAACCGCCAGTTCTGCCACGACACCTCGTTGCCCTCCATGGAAAACGACACGCCCTCGGGCTGCGAGATGTTGATGGGCTTCAGGTCCGTGCGGTAGCCGCCGCGCGTCTCCTGTGCCACGTGGTGGTAGTCGAGCGGCGCCACCGTGGAGAGCGGTCGGCGCACCTTGGGGATGTCAATGGCCACAATGGCGTCCTTGTTTCCGTCGTAGATGGGGCAAAAGTCAAGCGGGTATTGGTACTGCGTGTTGTCAATGTCTGGCCGGTAGTACATGAGCGCCTGCTGTAGCCGTGTGTCGCTGCCATACCGCTCGTCGTAGCCAATGGTCCACGGGTCGCAGTAGACCTTGTGCATGTCCTCGCGCGCCACGCCGCTCAGCACGCACTGCTCGATGACCTGCGGGTCCTGCCGCACCACTTGCTCGACGTGCTGGAGCTCCTCCATGAGAATCTGTCGGGTGTTAGTAGGTCCATCAGCAAAGGTATATTGTATCTAACAAAGTTGCTGGGTGGGCTCACAATCGGCTGTACGCCAGAGAGCTTCTCCCAGGCGGTGATCTTGCCGCCGGAGATGTCCACCAGACCATCGTAAACCGTACCCGCAGGGTTCTCGATCACGACAACTTCAGCTACACGTGCCGGTCGCGGTGCCGTGTCAGGCGCATCCAGCCATGCTGTCATGGCCGCCTTGCGCGGCTCCTGGAGTGACACCACATGGAAGAGCAGACCGTCGCCGTGGGCCTTCTTGACGAGGGCGACGGCCGTCCCGATTTCGGCCGGTGAGAGGGGATCAAAGGGATGAGGAAGAGGCATGTTGGGGATATGGGGTACAATATCATGAGACGGCGAGGAAAAAGGAAGCGTCGATAATCTAAGAAGAAGGCTCGACGATCGATGTGTGTTGCTCGTGTCTGTTAGAGATGTGGATGAGGGCGGGACGGAGAGTCTAGAAACGTCAAACAAACTGCGTCTGGGGAGCTTCGCTATCAAGAGAAGAAAGTCGTAAGACACGTAGAGATGCCAAACTACAGATTGAAGACGACAAGTTTCGTTTCATCAAGACACTCCCGGCTGGTCGACAAGCCTTTAACGCCTACATATTATATTTTAGAGTTTGTCTGCTTCGTCTTCCCCGTTTCTGGACCACCAACGGGTTGCATCTCTTATCGCGACATCTACACTCTAAAGGAAACGTCCTCTGGCTCTTTCTCCGCTTTACTTACGAGTATGGCCTTCAGAAACTGCAGATAACAGAACGTGCCCCTCTAAAAGTGTCACTCCAAACCACCAGCATTTCTGTACGATCTGGAGATAGTACTTCGTACGTGTAGATAAAGATAAAAGATACCGCGCCGCCAGCGAATCATCTAACACGACCGGCGCTTGCCGCGTTCACCCACTCAACGACAGTTTCGTTGTCGGCCCCAAGTTCTCAGTTGTCAGCAGAGTTACTCACCAATACCAAAGACGCTCCTGTTCCAATGAGGGCAGCATAATCGTAAATAATTTCCTAACTAGGTAAAGGCAGAGATGCCTCGCAGCACTACTGCGCGGCAACCCACTTATTCCCCTCCAAAGTCCAGGCCCCAATGCGCTCCTCCATTCACTTGGCCTTGGCCCTTGAAGCTCCTTGAAGCTCCTGTGGTATTTTGACCTCTCCTCAGGTAATGCCTCGTCCTCTGGCTGGCGAGACTGTTGAGCCTGTCTCTGTGCCAATGATGTGGAAAATTAATCATGTAAGTATCATTAGACCTCTATGGCCACGACATCATGTTCCGTAGATCCTTTGTAAAATGTCCGTAACGTGAGCTGCGCGACAAAGTGTAAATGCAAAATGCGCCCCCCCCCCCCCCCCCCCCCCCATGCCTCCAAGAATACCCGCCGCAGTAGTCCGATGAGAGTGAAATGCGTGCTCGTGTAACCAAACTCCTATGCCATAATTGTCTCCCAGCCGTTCTGGATCATCACATCCATCCAGTACACATCCGCTTCGCCCTCCATCCCCAATCCCCCTCCGGCGACGCACTTGGCCCGCGCCTCCGCCTGCTGGTCCATTTCCACCCATGTCTGCTTGACAATGTTAAGGCAGGCCTGGATCGGTTTCGGCGGCAGCACGTGCAAGAAGGCATTCAACCGGCTCTCAATAAAACCGCGCGCCCGCGTCACCTCCACAGTCTCCATGTCCAGGTTGAGCAGCGCGTGCAGCGGCAGGCTAGCGCCGCCCATGCCGCCCACTGTGCTGGGGACGGCGCCGCCGGGCCGTCGCTTCTTTGTGATGCGCAGTTCGCTCGACAGAGCGACGAGCAAAAACGGCTGGAAGTCGCGGGTACCCGACTCGATGGGTATCGTCTTCATCATTTCCAGACTGCGCAGTGTGTACGACGTGAGCCACTTGACGCGCTCCTCGTGTGTAATCGCGGGCTCGTCCGCTGCGCCGTTGTCGTCCTGGAACGACGTGCCCAGGTGGGCGTAGTCGCCGTTGGCACCTCGCCGTTCCCGTCGTAGGCGGGCCGACAACAGGTCGGGGAAGACGTGGTAGATCTGGACAAGACCCGTGTTCCGAATGATCTCAGCCAACGTGAGCAGGTGCCACACGGGTGTGTTGCGGTCTTCCGTGTCCTTGACCGATTGCTCTGTCGGATGTGAAATGTTCACAAGGCGCTCCTCCAGCTCTCTTGCGGTCGCCATATCCTTCTTGAGCTGGTTGATGTGCGCCATGGAGGCGAAGCGATGCGCGTAATTGAATTTGCGTTGCCGCCGGATCAAGCGGCCGACCTTTAGAACTGCCAGCTGAGTCTCCGCACAGAAACCCGTCCAGGGATGGGGCACACGAGGTCCGGGGATGGATTGGGGACCGAAATGCCGTTCTGACGAATCTGGGCGTTCGTCGGGGACCGTCGATATGGTGTCGTCGTCTGTGACAAACGCAAGAAGCATTTCCCAGTACAGCATCGACTCGCGGAAGAAGCGGAAGCTGCGGTCACCGCCGGCCTCGCCAAACGTCGAGGCTGGCATAGTGGAAAGACACGCGGCAATCTGGTTGAAAAACGGCAGACCGAGATCTTGAGGGTCATGCCAGCTGGATGTACCACCCAGCATGAGAATCGCAAGCATCGAGTTGGCGTCCCACTCGGTTGTCTTGGCTAGCAGCTCGGCAGCTTCTTGGCGCAGTTGGCGGCCGATCGACGCAACCTCTGGGAAATCACGTACAAGAGACGCTGCTGCCATGCTTTGGAGGGTGCAATAAATGATTCTCGACGAGTTCCAAGTGCGCACGACAGCCGAACGGAAAGGGTTCATGCGGCTATCGTAGCACGAGTATACCTGTGCCGTCACCTTGAAGTAGAATTCAACAAGCACAGTGCTAATATCGTTCAAAGAAGTGATCGAGAGGGACGGGCTGCTTTGGCAACCCTGAACGGGGGCCAGCTGCAGCGCCTCTGAAGCCGGTGATGCGTGGCCAAAAATCACCTCACTCACGTTTTCGTCTACCTCACTGTCGGACCGGCTTTCTACCTGGTAGGAAGGCCGCGTGGTAGTATCGAGGGCTAAACTGGTGTGGCTCGGAAGATGCGGCCACCTTCCCCGAAGGAGTCCATCGAGTCCATCGCTGGGCGCGGACGTAAGGTTATCCGGAGGTGACTCAGTCGATACCCGGTGCGGAAATCCATCCGTTCTCGAAATGTACTCCACATCATCGCCGTTTTCGGTTGGTAACGTAGACGGAGCTGTGCTGCTCTGCTGTGCCGTAGACATTATGCTTGGCATGGCCATGCTCGTGCCACTCGGGAACCCGCCAGTCCATGATCCATCAAGCCCAGCGGTTACCATAAGATTGCTATGGAGCATCGCATCGCCATCCAGTGCCTTCTGGGCTGCAAATAAGGGGTTGTTGATGCCCATATATATTTCGGGGAACTCATGGATCGGCACTGGAATGTGGTCGAAAAGGTTGGCCCAAGCCACGTTTCGTGGGTTACTCGAAAGGTTGCTGTTGAAGGGGACAGAATGGGGCATGGTCATCTCAGGCTCCGGGCTGCCGACGCTAGAGGCGAACTGCGTCGTTGGGGTCGTCGTATTCGTGCCGGTTCCCATTGGCGAGGGGAGAGGATGCTGCTGGGCGCCGTCTGCCGAGGAGGGACTGTGTTGCGATCGAGGGGTTGTGATCTGTCGCTGTGCTTGTTGTCGGGGAGAGCTTGCGAGATCGTGCGTCTGCGTAGGAGCGTGGAGTTCCTGTTGCGCGGGTATCGGGGCGGGCGCGGGAGCTGCAGCGGCCGGCGCATCGGACTTCTGGGCCTGCTTGCGCCGAGCCTGCTGCTTCTTCTGACCTGGCTCGGCCCGGAAGACCTCATGTTTCGCAGACCAACGTAGCTTTTGCTCGTACCCGGGGCATTGGACACCTACACGTACGCAGCGGTCGCATTCCGGATGCTGCTCGTCACACCGCACCTAGGAACACGAACCTCAGCAAAGGCAAGTCGAAATAGATACATGAGCAACAGGACATGGGCTTACCCTCTGCTGTTTGCATCTGGAACAGCCATTACGCGAGTAGCCATAATACGCGCGCGTCCGGCCACTGCCGTTGGCACCGCGGGCCGTCTTCTTCGTGGCAGTCTCCATGCTGACTAGTGAGAGGAGACGAGAGAATGTCAGGAGCTCCGATGAGTCGGGGGATCCAACAATAGCAGAAGCAGTTGTTGTCAGGGAATCGAGAAAACCGTCGCCATCCTCAACGAGTGAAGTTTGATCCGATAAGATAAAGTGGGTGTGTCAGCCGGCCAGAATCGCCAGCCAGGAAATGCAACGGAGAGAAACAGAAGTTTGGGAAAGACCGAAAGAGGGGGCTCGTGAAGTGGGTTCTCTACAGAGTATGCAATTGCCGAGAGGGTGAAACCGCTCCGTCGGTGGAGAGGTAGAAAGTGGAATTGGATATCCTGGAGCTGCTCTCAAACTGGGGTGGACAGAGAGATTGAGTGCGAAGATGACGAGACACAAAGAAAAGGAAAGGCCGTGATGTGAAAATTGACTTGGTCATTCGTTTTCGGGGGACTCGACAATGATTCGGAAGGGGCATACGGCACTAGCAAACACCTGGAGGACACGTGATCTCCTAAGAAATGGAAGATTTTAGCGTATGCTCCCCAGGAAAGAGCCTGGACCGTGCCAGAAGCATGGCAACATGGGTCGTTCTTTCTTGGTGCTTCTTTCTATCTTCGTGCCTGTCCGGCCTGCGTCAGGAAAGCTTCAAAATGCGGCTTCCCCGCCGCTTTTTTTTTGATTTGTAAACCCCAAAGGTCGTGACTGCCTCTTTATTATTTTGGCTGCTCCTGCGTGTAAGGTCGGTACCCGTTGACTGGTCGGTTGGTACAAGGCTCGTGTTTTTATTAGTCGTTATTTCCTGATTAGGAAAAAAACATCGAACGACAAATTTTAGGAGTCCCCAATTTTGCTAAACACCACCAGGTCACATGCTCGGAGACGCTCCTGGTCAAAATGGAAGTCACGACTGTGCGACAACACTCAAATCTAGAAATGGTTTGAATCTAGCTTCGACGCGTACTTGCAAGAAAGGCAGGATCGAACGGCAATAGATGGAGCGAAAGCGTGACCTGGACCCTCCTTTAGACGAGAACACCACGGCCCCTTTTGCCCAGGCCGCAGAATGAAAACAAACGAAACTCAAACACAACATTAACGCAAGTGAGGTATCTAAACATGCGGCTTGTAACATTGCCCAAACACTAGACATACCACATCACAGCTTCTTTAGGTCCGTCTTGAGCGGCAGCGTCTCCGGGCCAGCCACGACAACGCCGCCGCTGGTGACGGTCACCTTGGCTTCGGTCGTGCTGACGCGCACTTCGACCTGCACACTGTACTTCATGTACCGGTCGTTCTTGTCGCCATACTCGACCTGATTTGACGCCGGCACCTTGTTCATGTTGCAATGCAAGATGACGATCTTGGCCTCATCTAGTGCTGCTGTTAGCGGCTGTTCCTGAGCTGATGCAGTATGCACAAACTAGAAAAGAAGGAAAACACACCCTTGTTGAGCTCCTTGAAGCGTCTCGGGGCGTCGGACTCGTGCGATGCCACAAACACAATATCTCGATACACCTTGGTCTCGGCAGTGCTGCTGCTGTGGGCGGCATTGTTGCGTTTGCGGGACGAAAACGAAAAGGACGACGTGGCTGTTGTAAAGTCACTTGGCCGCAACAACCAGTGGCAGTTATATGTGGTGACACGGTCCTTGCCAGGCTGGATAGCGTCATCCTTGCGAACGAACCACTTGACCTGGTCGGTGGCCCATTTAACGCCGAGTGAGTCGATCTCGAAGTTGTCGCCCGTGTTGCGCCAGCCCGAGTAGAGCTGGCGTGTCTTGACGCCATAGTAGCAGGGACTGCGGGTGATGTTGGTTGGCTTCTCTGTGAGGAGGCCCAAGCCTTTCATGACGGCACCCTTGGACACGGCACACCAGCTGAACGACGATGGTCAGTGAGGTGGATTCAGAGAACAAGCAGGCGAATTAAGAGCGTACTTACCAGTCCAGGCCCTTCTCGACATTGATGCCCTGCTGCCCAGCAAAGTCGGCAACGCGGGAGAAGAGGTACTCGCTGAAAGATGTCAGTTTGGGCAGCCAGAGAAATACGTTGTCAGTGATACGTTCAGAACTAACCTTCTCGCGAAACCGCCAGACAAGAAAATGCTCTAGGAAACCGTCAGTGCTTATTGCGAAGTGTGGACTAATATATATGCCGACATTCACCTTGACATACCTTCACCTTACGCCGAGGAGTGGCGTTGTCGAGCGAGCTGATCTGGGCACCAATCAGAGCCAGCGTTTTGTCGACTGAGAAGCTGAACATCTCGCGAATATCTTCAGCCGTCAGCTCCAAATTGCCGTCATGGATTCCGCGGTCGGCGCGATCCTGGATATTCATGCCACGGGGTAGTGGAACAGCCTCGGCCAAGTTTGTGTTGGTGCCCGTGAAACCGTGCTTGACGGGCAGGAAAGCCTTGAACACTTCCATGCCGTCCTTTGTCCAGACAAAGTGGCCACCATCGCCGTACATGCCGGTACCGACAATCTTTTCGCTGTCGGCAGGATCGAGACGTCGCTTGAGGGTCTTAATGAAACCCTCGTCAACATACGTCGAGCCACAAGCAAAGCCTAAAGGAGTTAGCGAATTAGCAAACTATTGGTGTTGGTAAGGGTGCTCCAGCATACCAGAAATATGGCCAACGGGCTTCATCATGAATTTGTTCTTGGCAAAGTCAATGTCGGAGATTTGGAAAGATGCCAGATCCTAAAGCAGCCACGTTAATGAGAATGGCCTTTGTTAACAATTTCCGAGGTCACGCCAGATAATAATAATAAAAAAAGACATACGACTGTACCACCACCGGCGTCGACTACGATGAAGCAGTCGCCTTTCCGGAAGCGCGCATGGTCCATCTTCTGTGCGGCTCGCAGCGTGTAATGCGCGCAAGCCTCGGGCTCAGACACAAACGACACATTGCGGATCGTCGGGAAGCGGTCCCCAAACGAAGAAATGGCGGCGCGGTAGGTCTTGTTGAGGGCTTCTTCGGACCACTTAGCTGGGTGTGTGATGACAAGGTCGATGGGGATCTGCTCGGGCACGGCGCGGCCCAGGGTGTTGATCATGTCGTCGTACGTGACGTCGGCGATGCGCTCGAGGTAGTCCTGCACGATATCCTCGGCGGTCTTGGCCAGATGGCGAGGGATGCGACCAGCAATCGCATTGGCGTCGTTGAGTCGCAGAGAGGCCAGGCCGTGCAAGGTCTGCGTAAAAGTGGTGAGCTCGCGGCCGCGGTCACGGCTCTCCTGCAGCTCCAGCTTTGTTTTCGATAGGACCTCGGAATCGTCGTCGATGCTGTAGCCATATTGCAACAGACGATTCTTGGAGTTGGAATAGGAGATCTGTGAAGGCACCTTGACCTCGGAGGCACCGGGCCAGTTCTGGACGACATGAATGTCGTTGAGGTCGATCGGACGACCGACGGACTGGGCATACGCAACACCGGTAAAGGTTGTGCCGTAATCGATCGCCATGACAATGCGTGCAGCCGACTCATCATCGGCAGAATCGCTTCGTATCACAGCACTCACTCTCGGAATTGCCGGCCGCGCAAGCGGCACGCTCCCCAAGTCGAGCGCAGTCCCCGTCGGGCTTCCTGGTGTGGCAGCAGTCAACGTTGTCGGCGATGAGTTGCCGGCGGTTGAAGCTGCTGTCGGCGCTGCGAAGTCTTTCTTGGTTTCCTCTTTTAACCGAGCGCGACGTGCAGCCACCCGGGCATGCGGTGCCGGGAGGTCGACTACCTCGTCATAGTTCATGGTGCAACTGCTAGGACGAGTCGAAACGGGGTAAGCAGGTACGGAAACCAAGGATAGTTTTGAGGGCGATGTTGGACCGAGACGACCTTCGATCTCGACGTTTCAACGATGCAAATGGGTTGAAATGGGTCACAAACAAGAAAACGAAACAAAACTGACGGAAGAGACAAAGCTTGAGGAGGAAGACGAAGATAATCGACAAGAACAGGAAGAAGCAACCGAGCTATGACGATGCTGCCAAAACATCCCCCGTGCTGAGCTCCAGAGCTGGCTGAACGAAAGAGTGCGCCAGACAACGAGAGCCTCTGGTGTCGCCTTGCGGTGGTGGTCATCTCAATGCGTGGCCGTTGACTCGTGTAAGTGAGGTACTTGCCGCTAACGACACCCCCTCGGACCCGCTTTCTAAGGTGCGGGTGGAGCCTTGAGCCGCTCTTCGGTGCGCACAGGGGCACAGTGCGATTGCCGCAAACATGCCGCAGTGCCAATATTGAGGCGTTCACTTGCATATGGGCGGCGAGGCTGCGCATCGACCTGGCCTGTCTGGGCGCCAACAAGGCACACTCTCGGAACAGCAAGGGTGACAATATGCAAGCAGGGGGAGGATGGAAAATATGGAAAGAAGGACTGCCAAAAAGGCAAAACACTGAGCGCTGAAAAAGCCAAACACAGGCGACGGCCGGAGAGGCTGTGCTGGTTTGCCTTGACGACCCCGCAGGACAGGGAGATACTGGTATGAACGTGACGCTCATTCCTGACGGAGACGACAAGAGGCTCAACAGCACGGCTCCAGTGCATCGTTGTTCCGCATGGAGAGCAACTGAGATAGCAGCTGCACGACAGTGCTCGGTACACCCCAAGTTAGGGTCCCAAAGTGTGAGGAAACACTACACCCGTCTCTTTTGGCTCGCTCTCTCTGTCGTCACTCTTTTTTTTTTCATCGCCAAACATTCTGTTCACTAAACTTCACTGCTCTGGTTGGCAGGGCAGTCGTTGGACTGCTGCCTCAATCCCATTTCGAGATTGGCTTTGTCTTCCTATCAGCTGAAAGCCTGAATCATTTCTTGGAGGATCAAGTGCAGGGGGTCATCCACTGCCTTGTTTGCCTATCACCACTCTCTAACATCTTTTCTCTTTTTACTTCCCACCAGCATATTTCACTCTCTCTTCTCCCAGACGGCCAAGGCCCAAAATGTCCATTCGAAATTTCCTGCAAGGAAAATCGAGCATCAGCGGTAATGGCGGCAGTTCCGGTGGCGGCGGGAGTGGAAGCATAAACGGAGGACTGGCAGGTGTCGGTATTGGCAGCGGAATGCCCGGTGGAATGCCCGGCGGAATGCCCGGCGGCGGGATGATCGCTGGTACTGGCTTGAACGGAGAAGACGGGGATGACGGGACCGGCATGGCTCATGTGGTCGACGGCGGGCAGCCCGGAATGGCCAAGGCCTGGGAAGTCGAGGCTCGGGAGCAACGCATGCGCGCTCAGGTTGCCGAAGAAGCACACCTCTACGGAACGCAACAGATCCTTACCTACCTCAAACAAATCGGTGCCGGCCCAAAACGCAACGTCAACGCCGTGGAGCAGATCCTGCTGTATTGCAACGCGCTGATAAAGGAGCGCCACGCCACCGAGAGCGATGCGAAGCTCAAAGCCCGCAAGCTCGGTGAGGCCACTGCTGAGATCAAGTTCTTGCAAGGCGATGTCAAGGAGGCGCTCAATGACAAGCGCCAGGCCGTGATTGAAGCTGAAAACTACCGCCGCAAGTACAAGGAGAACAAGGAGAAACTCGAAAAGGCCGACTTCAAGCGCGACGAGGCCGTCGCCAAAGTCACGCGCCAGATGAAGGAAGCCGCTGCTGCTCACGTCCTGGACAAGCAGCAGTCTGAGGCCCAGCTCCGCATGCAGCTCGGCGTCCTCGAAACGCAGATCCACCGCATGCAAGGCGAGCACCAAGCAGCGCTGACCCAGCTTGAAGCCAAACATGCCGAAAAACTCGAAGAAGAGGAGGCCAAGCACAAGGTGGATAAGAAGACGCTGCACGACGAAAAGGAGCGCGAGATTGACGAGATCATCGACGCGCACGAGGCGGAAGCGGCAATTCTCAAAGAAAAGATCCGCGAACTGGCGTCCGACCTGATCTCGCAGACCGATGACTTCCGGCCAGCCACCGACCAGGCTCTGCGTATCAAACTGCTCGACCTGCGCAACCGCATCAAGAACATTACCGTGCCTAACAACCTACACCTTCGCTTAGACGGCGGTGGGAAAGGCAATGGTGGCGAGGGCGGCGCAAATGGTGCAAACGGCGGAGACAGCAATGCACCAGGAGGCGGCGCCTCGGCCCTGCATCAGCTGCCAGCCGATTTGGATCCCACAGGCTTTGTTGCCCGGCATGGGTCACGCGATCTTCAATACATCCTGCGTGGTCTCGTGTGGAACGTGTTGGTCTCGGCCTTTTTCTCTGCGCCGTTTGGCTTTGGTTTCCTGGGGCCAGAATCCCAACGAAACCCTGGCCGACAACAACTTCTTGAAATTCATCGCTCATGGATCCGACTCTACGAAGGACAACAGCCGTATCGTGAGTTAGCCCTTGGTACTTTTTATCCTTTTCTTTTATGAAAAACCCACCTTTTCACATACTAACCTAGGCAGGCTACGCGCATGATACCGACGAGTTCGCCATGTACAGGCGCGACTACAATGCCAACAAGCTACGCTCGGCCGTCTTTCAGTCCTTCCTCCCCGTCGTCTTTCCGGAAAAGGCTGCTGCTCGCCAGCAACAAATGGGATCTGCACCTTCGTCTGACCATCAGCAGCAGCAAACTCTGACGCTGCAGCAACTGCCACCGCTACCCTCGACACAAAACCAACCTCACCCCGGTGACGCATCCTGGCCAGGCCAGTACCAGGCGTTCCAACCGGGCGGCGGACAGTCCGCCCCGCCACCCTACTCGGCGAATGGCTCTCCACCGCCGCCGCCTCCGCGACGTTCGGCTGTCAACAGTTTGAGTGGTTTTATGGGTGGTAGTGGTGGTTCTGCCGAACCGGGTATTGCCGCCTGGCACCGCCAACACTGCGAAGCCGTTGTCACCAGCATCAAGCAGCTGCTCGACCGCATCACCGGCTACGCCACCCGCCCCGACGCGCTCGAGGCCGTTCCCGCTATTGTCAACCTCGCGGCCGAGCTTGGAATCGAGTTTGGTGTCCAGCGGGCCCAGGTCTGGCTTGTCATGCCGCAACGGAACGAGCTGGTGCAAGCCGGGCCCGAGTACCAGGACTGTTTGGGCGGTGGCAGCGGCGCCTCCGACAACAACGACAAGGAACACGGCCGCGATCTCAAGGTCGATCTCATGGTATCGCCTGGTATTGTGCGCGTTGGTGACGGCCGTGGCGACTTGAGTGTGCGCAAGGCCCTCGTGCCATGCGAAGTGATTCCATTTTCATGAGTTGTCTTTGTAGAGGAGCGTATATTGATGTGTCTTTTTTTGCTCTTTTCTTTTGTTGTTATTAAAGGCGAAGCATGTTTGACTTTCTATTCCATTTCTTTTTACTTTATTATAACTTGTATGACACGACCTTGCTTTGTAACTGTAAGGAAGATCGGCTATTTTAGATGGATGCCTATGACTTTTACGTTTTGCTGTATCTTTCCTTGCCAGCGAACTGCGAACTGGCGAACGAACGTTTAAATTCCAGGAAGGTTTTAATAAAATGTTGATAACTATGGTATTATTTTATTACCTTTTTTACAATTTATTCGCATATTTTCAACATAATCAAGCACCTAAAATCGAAATAACGAAATTAATGCAGCGCAGAAAACGAAACACCGTGAACCTGAGTAAACAACGAAGGAAGACTACGCAAGAATAACCAAACAATCAGAAGACCCCGAAACGCTACATAAACAGAAATGAGGGTATATCGCAATGTGTGCAAAATGATCACAAAAGAATAGAAACAAAAAGTCCGTCTTCCGCTCAACTACAGGGCAGCCCCTGACCGCAGACTGGCAAAGGTCGACCGCATGCCCGTCTCAATGTGCCGCACCGGCGGCATGCTGTAGCCGCTGGGACAGATAAAGACGTAGCGCACGAGCACGCGCGACTCGTCTGTCACAATGTGCGTGCCCGCCGGTGGCTTCTTGGTACCCGGCGGCAGCGTCGCAAGCGGGTCGTCCTTGATCAGCTCGCAGCCCAGCAGTATTTTTTTGTTGCTAAACGCGCTCTTGGACCACGTATTATTAAGGGTGCCGCTGTAGCTAAACGACGTCGACGGCTCGTCGGCCAGGTAGATGCCGGGGCCGTTGACGGCCCCGTGCGCCATGTAGCGCGTGTTGGACATGTTGCGCAGGCCCTCGGTGAGCACCTTCCACATACGCGACGTCTGCGAGCCGTGGAAGACGACATCGCCCGTGCGCGGGAGCGGCGCCAGGCGCGCGGAGCCGCTGCTGGCGCTGTTTGTGTTGTAGGATTCAAACGCCTTTTCGCATTCGGGCGTCGAGTTGTACAGCAAGAACTGGTCAACGTCCGACATGATGGACAGCCGCTTGCCCTGCGGCGCCGATAGCATGCAGCCTCGGAACCACTTGCTCATCCAGGCCAGCACCTGCTCGCGTTCGTGCGACAGGTAGTTACCGAGCCGGATCTTGTTGAGCAGGTCAAACGGCGTCATGGTGTCGTCGGCTTGTAGCCGCGGGAACGAGTCCAGGATCGTTATCAGCCGGCTCTTTTCGTAGGGGCAGTCGGTGGACAGCAGCTGGAGGCCTGAATTATCCTTGGCCGCCGCGTACAGGCAGCATAGCAAAAAGTCCAGGACGGGCGCATCAATGAGCAGGCCGTAGGCGCGGACCAGCAGGCCGGACTGCGACATCTCCTTGATGCAGCCGTCTTTGGTACAGATTGTCGGCTTCCACAGGCCCGTAAGCTCATCTCCACAGGCCGTGCACTGCGACCCGGGCCGCCGGATCGTCTCGTTGGTGAGGTCGTAGACGCTCTTGAGCGTGACACCGCCTAGCAAAAAATGTCGATGAAGTCGCTGCGCCAGTGCATGCGTAAATAGGTTAAAACTGGCCGTACAAAGGCGACTGGTCGGCTTGCGGTGGGCGTTGGACTTGGGTCGCCAGTACGTGTGGTTCATTTGCTGTTTGAGTTGCACTTGCAGGCCCTTTCCCGGTTCGTGCACCGTCTCGTGCGGCACGAGGTGCACACAAAAGCCGTGCGTGCGTTCGACGCCATTTAGAATCACCCGCACGGTCAGGATGGGGAAGAGGTCGCTGCCGATGCCACGGACTTTCCGGTCGTGGCCCTGCAGGTGCGCAAGCGGGAAGCACAGCTCGTACTCCTTGGTGCCCACGCACTCAATGGCGTCGCTCAGGGCCTCGGGGATGTCCGGGTCAATGTACGGGCGTGTGCCCTGCATGCCGATGCGTTTGGCCAGCGAGTTGGTCCGCGTACTATCCTTGCGATCCAGCTGGAGGCGCAGCCCCTCGACCTCGCGCGCCAGCTCAATGACACGGTCATACTCTCTGAGCATCTTGTTTTTGATGACATTGAGGCCGTGTGGGTTGAGTGACGGCTTGATGCCCATGAGCTCGGCCAAAAGCGTGATTGCGTTCTTGTCGCCTTCAGTCAAGTCCTTGGATCGCCGCCAAGCCAGCATATACGCTTGCGTGGCGCTGTCGGGCCACCCTTCGTGCATGTAGAACCGCTCCAGGATCGTACGGATGCCGTACAGGCCCTGCGGGCTGCTCTCGTCGTGTGCCGCCAGGCAGCTGCAGAGCGTTGTGATGCTACTGGGCGACGAGTCGAAAAATGATAGAATCCACTGCGGGTCGTAGCCAAGCGTTTTGCGACCGACAATGGTGCTTAGCAGAGCCGTCACGTTGGGAATCTCTTGGAGGTACAGCCACTTCATGGACGCGATCCCTCCATTCTGGCGCCGCTGCAAGCGATCGAGGTACTCAACACCCACCAGGTATTCGGTTTGCAGCTGCTGCCACCATGTGAGGCGCTGCAGGCTCATTCCAAGGTTGGCCAGAGCGGCCATCTGGTCGGGCCGGCCATTGAACACGACGCGCATGTCCGTCACAAAGCGGAACCAGTCCTGGACGGTGAGGTTGTCACACGACCAGACAAGGAGGTCGTCCGCACGCTGATTTAGCATGAGCATCATCAGCGAAATCCACACGTCGTGCACAACCATAGGGAGCTCGATACGGCGGGCCAGAATGCGCAGCATGTCGATGCACGACACATGGGAGTCCCGCTCAATGAGGCCGAGCAGATCTCGGAGCAGCACGACATCTTCAACGAGAATCTGCAGGCGACACGCGTGCAAGAATTCCATGTCTTTCATGTAAGCCAGCTTGCGGATGATGCCCAGGATCCGGTTGCGCTCCACGTCTTGGTGAGTGATCCAAAACTCCTGTTCCCCGTCGACCGCCACTTTGAGTGACGCAATTTCCTCTTCTGTGCCTGTACCGCCCAGTGTGGCCAGCAGGTAGTCCTTCAACGCCTTTTCCACCGACTCTGACTGCGGCACCTGCAGGCGCGACATGATGCCTTGGAAGACGTCCTCGGGCGGGAAGCGATCGAGACCAGCAAGGAACTCGGCCGACACGAACTCGTTGAGCCAGGGCGCGTACCTTATGGCGCGGCCGTAAGCTTGGATCTTGTAGCTAAGCGTGTCGTTGGTGCTGCCAAACAGATGGGTCTTGTATGACTCTTGCGCGGCCTCCATTGTGGGAACGACGATATCAATGATACGACTGGCAAAGACCTCGCGCAGGGCCGGGTGCCGCTGCAGCGTGAGCAATGTGCTGGAGAGTGTCATCATCCTGGCGCTGACACTGGCTGTGGGCGTCAGCGAGTTGACAAGGACAATAGCAGCAGTGCAGCATTCCGGATCAGCGATGCGGATAATTGTCTCGGCAAACGTTAAAGAGTTGTCCGTAGCTGTGCTTTCGATGCAGAGACGCGACAGCAAACTAATGGCCTCTGGCCCGATCTCCATGGCTTGAAGGAGGAGCTGCTGTAGACGCTGGATCAACGCCACGTCTGCAGGCTCGACTGCCACGGTTTGGAAGCATGCAGGACCGCAGTCTTTGAAAGTAGGGTTGCCGGTGCGTGTCAGATCAGGGCCTTCCAGGTGGAAGATGGGCCGAAGTCGTGCGAGATGCTGGGGTGTGAAGTTGTATGTCTCCCACTTCTGCAACATGGCTTCGTCTGGCTTCCAGCTGGCCCACAGTTGCAAGTCGGGGATCTGGCCCTCAAGAACCTCTCGTGCAAGCTGGCATTGCTGGTTTGACAGGTACTCGTGGACCCACGAAACGCTGCGGTAGAGGCTGGCAAAACGACACTGGTTCTGCAGCATGTGCAGGTACAGTTGGTAGGATTGGGGGATTTGGCAGAAAGCGAGCAGCCGGTTGATGTACTCGGCCGGGAGCATCTGCGAATTTGGAATCGTCGATAGGGTCGCTATCATATTGTGGAAAATTTGGAGGGGATCTGCGTAGCCTAGTCGAATTTGCAACAGATACTGGGCAACCTGGGCTTCTGGGATGGACACATATCGTGGTGCGATGCTACTGGCGACGACGAGGCAGCGCAGATACCTGGTATAGCTTGGATTTTCCTGGTTGTCACCTCGCAGAGACTTGAGTGCTGCGATGGCGGTGAACGGTGAGTACTCCAGGGTGCAGGCCAGGATGGCAACCTCAGGATCGCCATGCTCGTTTTGCACATGGTCCCGGATGAGCTCGTCGATGTGCCGGTTGCGCTCGTCGGAGTTGGCCACGAGCCTTTTCCGGTTGAGATAATCCCTCGTGAGCTGCAGAAGTGCCGGTGGGAATTCTATTAAGCTGCCATCGTCGAGCTGTGCAGAAAGGTTGCTTGCAAGGAGCTCCTTGTGCCAGGCCGCCCGAAGGGCCGAGGACTTCGATATGGTGATGATGGGCATGATCGTGTGGTGGTGGCAGTGAGGAAAGGATGAATAGAGCCCGTTCCAGATCGTTGATTATGCAGAAAGGAAGCGATGTTGGGTGTCCCCGGTTGCCAAGGTCTAATGTAGTTCATAAAACAGCAAAGAAGGGCACCGGGCGGCAAGCGTGAAGGAATGTGTTTTTAGAATGTGGTGTCCGTCCTTCGTCGAGATGGTGATAGCAACGAAAGAAAGTAAGAGTAATGCCGAAAAAGTGAAGGGAAGAATTGAAAAGAGAAAGCCTGAAATCACTATAACAATAAAAAGAAGGAAAGAAAGGGCTGTGTTAACATGTATTGCAAATACAAGTGGGTATCAAAATGCCAAGTACGGATGTCGAGCTGAAGGGCGTTGCGAGGATTGGAATCAGAGCGTGCTGAAGGCAAGAATGTTGAAAGTTTGGAAATTGCAGCTCAAGGCTGCGTTCCCACGGACAGACTGAACAAGAACAAGCGAGTAAGAGAATTACCAATAGAAAAGGTGGAAACAAATGACGAGCAACTATGAAGAGTAGACAAGCAGAGGGAGGACGAGTGCATGGAAAGTTCAAAGTACACGCTCCGAACAGCAGTTTGTTTGTTTGTTATGGTATGAGCTTTGACTCGTGCTGCTGGTGACAGAAGCCAAAGCAAAACTTGTCGCGAGAAAGAGATGCCTGCCAGAATGTGCCAGTTGAAAGGAGTGCACAAGCAAGGTTCGGCTCATATGGCGAGTCACCGAGGAGGCCACCTCAAGGCAGACTGAAGAAAGCTCTGAAGGCGCTGATTCTCATTGGGACGTCGGTGTCTCTAAGAAACAAGCTTCTGCTATCCTCACAACTTTTTGTTCATTCCACTGTTTGCACCGCTCAGGACGCTGCGCAGCCCTGGTTCGACTTCTGGTGCTGAGCAGGGTCTTCTGGCTGCTCGCTGTATTATTGACCAGACTCCGAAGGATGGGGACAAGGCATTGCCTGAACTGGCATAAAATTAAAAAGGCGACGAGCACCGTAAAGTGCGATAATTTGACGCGTACTGTGTACAGGCGAAGCACAGTGCCAGGAGCTAGGCAAACGGGACGGCCAGAGCTGGGGCAGACCAGGGTACCTCCACCATTTAGAGTTTAGTGCGCAAGGCTCCTTGACGGGGCGTTTCAATAAATTCCAGCCAGACGCCAGGGAGGGGGAGGGGTGCCATGAATATTACCACACGGAGACCAGTCGGATGAGGGGCGTGGATAACAATTGCGCAGCCAAGCTGTTGTCACCCACCAACGATTGAGGAGGCTTCTGATCTGTTTTGGCCGCATCAGTTTGGTCGATTTCTCCTCTTTTGTCGGCTGTGCAATCGGCGGCTGGAGATACGATTTGGACTGGTAACCAAAGAGACGTGAGAAGCAATGTGATTATTGTTTTGGTTGAGGAGCAGAAGGCGTTTGCCCACCAATACCCCTGTCGCTTGGGGAGTAGGAACGAGTGGAGGCGGGTAGGCAAGGCGAAATGGGAAGAAAGCCGACCGTATGATGCCGCCGATGTCGAATTATGCTGGACGGAGGCCATATGGCCAGGCCACACTCAGTGTTGTTCGCTCGAGCCATGCACCCTTTGACACTCTCGAAGAAACAAAAGCGTTTATTGTCCACGCCATACTGTCGTATCTGTGAAAGGTCAGCCTTTTTATACGTATATTTTTTTTAATCTTGGCACTGCTCTTGAAACGAGAGTACTTTGACGAAAACAAAAAGAGGGCGAAAAAAGTCACAAACCAAAGCAAGAGAGAGCAAGCACTTTTCCCTATACGACATCCATAGACAACAACCGCCAGTTATGTCATCGTCAAGCGCCGCTGCAAGAACAGCAACGAACGCAAGCACCACAAGCCGCGAGTTTCTCGACGAGCTGTACGAGCTCCTAGAGCGAGACAAGGACAAGAAAAATACCGTCATCCTCGAGCTGATTCTCCAGCAATGGCAGCAAATCGGCGACGAGCGTAGGCCAACCTTTTCTTCGTGTTGTCTTTGTTGTTTTACTTTGTGCTCTAACCGTTGAGTAGAAATGGCACACGGGGTGGCTGAAGAAATCTTGAAGCGAGATACGAACCATCCTGGCGCACGGGAATATATTCGCAAATCGTCGTCTCAGGTCACCACACCCGCAACGACAATCTGGTCGTCATGGAGTCTCGGCACATCCTCTCGATCCACATCCGCCTCTTCGGCGTCGCGTCCCGACCCCCTCCAAACACGACTAACCCACCGCCCACCACGTGGTGGAGGTAGCACAGCCGGCACTCCAGTCATAAGTGAGACCGGGTCCGTCTCGACAACGAGCGGCACACGGCACCTCGACCCCAAATCCGCCATGGCAGCGCGGCTACCTGCGTCGTCCGGTGACGTGCTTGGGGCGAAGCGGAAGAACAAGCGACCTGTCCAGTTTGGTTCTCCACTCAGCTCAGAGACGGAGCGGCTGGCGGTCGAGGCGAAGCTGGAGCAGCAGTTTGCGGACCTGCAGGCGCGAGCAACGGAGCTGGAACGCGAGATGGTCGTTCTTGAAAACGTCGGGCTCGTTGACAACGCCGAAATCTTCCAAGACACCCGCAACATCAAACACGGACGCGTCAGTCTGGTCGTCATGCCTGCTATGCCGCGGCCCGTGCGGCAGCTCGTGCGTGAGCTGCAGGGCGACCGGAAGCGGTGCTTGGACTTGATCATTGACGACTTTGTCGAGGTCGCACAGTGGTCTCTCGAGGACGACGCCACAGGCAAACCACACATTGACGTGGTGCGCGATCGGCTGCTGCGGCGGCAGACGCTGCTGGACGCCATGCTCCCGGCAGGGCTCGAGGACCTGGGCCGCACGGCCATGATGCTCGTCGAGCACCAGCTCATCGACCACGGCAAAAAGTATGCCAACGACAAGACAATGCTGTTCGAGGACGTCGCCGACATCCCCGTCGCCAATCTGTTGGTGACCTCGGACAACTATGCCTGGGACATGTCGGAGTTGGCGGACGCGCTGGCTGTCAACAGCGGCGTCATGCGCAACCCCATTACGCGCGACATGTTTTCCGAGGAGGACGTGCGGCAGATCCTCAACCACCCGCTGGGCGAGCGCCTGCGGCCCATGGCCCTCGAGCAGAGCGAGCTGAAACGCGGCGTGCGCTCCACCACGATTGACCGCATGGCCCACCTCAGCAAGGTCATGCTCGAGGACCAGTCGGCACACGCGACGCCGACGATCGAGGCCATTGACATCTTCATGGCCTACTTCCACACGCTGCCCGAAGCCGAGAAGCGGACACTCAAGTCGCTCAAGGTGCCGGCCAAGGACAGCCACACGGGACAGGCGTATGACTCGGCGATCCTCGAGGCTATCCAGGACGCCAAGGCAAACCGTGTATGCTACCACAAGGTGGGTGATTTCCTCAGCCAGGCGGCCAAGAAGCTGCAGGATGACTTGTGAGGTGAATGTTGGATAGTGTACAGAAAGTTGAACAGAAACACCAAACATCAACGAAGAGGGCAAGGGAGCCTGAAACTAAGGGGCGTGACGGGGCAGGTCACCAGTTTGTGCAAACGGAGGAAGGCGCGATGGAAGCTCACGCTCGCTTCCGATTTGAGAAGGAGCAAACGGCGTTCGGGTCTCAAGGCAACACCAATTTGATTACTTATTTGTTTACATGATCTTTTCTGTTTTCTACTCGTTTCTTTTGGGCTGTCGGTTTCATTCTTTGGTCTTGATTTGCTGCGGAACATCTTTTTCAAAGTGTAATACCCTTCTCGTGTCTTGGTCAGTTGACCAGGCTATGATCATTATGAACTACTATTTCTATTCACATACGCACAGCTGAAGCATTGAAGTGGTCATTGTATTTCTTCAAACTTAAACTGCATAGCCAGGCCACGACAACGGTCAATCTATGAAAAGAACACATTAGGCAGGTTTAGGAAAATGCGACTGGAAATGGCCGCAAGAGACTGATTGGAACTGTCAATGGAAACACAGCACGTAGATACGCAACATCTACTGATAAAAAAAGAACAAAACACACTCCAGCCTGACTATGCCTAATGCAAATGAAAATAAAAGGACGGTGAGAAAATGGACAAACAATTGAGAGCAAAATACGATTAAAGAGACATGGCGTTGATCGACCGAGAGATTCTTCGCACCCAAATAACCAGACCAGGCGCGTGGGAAATGCAGAGCAGTAATAAAAGGAGAGAGGCACAAAAAAACAAAAGAAAAAGAAAAAGAAAAAAAAAAAGGAGAGAGAAAAGGCACCATAGCCACTCAAAAGGCCTCGCCCATACGGCTGCGGCCAACTGTCTTGAACGACTTGCTGTACGGCATGTACTGACCATCGAGGCCCATCGTGTCGAAGCGACGCAGGCCGCTGGTGCTGACATCCATATTGAGATTGGTGTAGCCACTAAAGTAGTAGCCGACGATGACAACCAGGTAGCTGAGCAGCAGGATGCTGCCCTTGAAGTAGTTGCTCTTCCCCTCGCCGTACATGTAGCTCAGGAGGAAGACGCACAGGATGACTGTGACCATGTCCCACTGTGGGAAGAGCAGAGAGAACGTGAAGCGGGACAAGTCGTCGCCCAGGTTGGCGGGTGGCGGGAAGCTGGCCGAGAACAGCACCAGCGCTGGGATTTGCAGCAGACACACTTGCAGCGCGTAGGCGGAGCCAATCTCCATGGACAGGGCAATGTTGCCATTCATGGCAAAGGAGATGGCGTTCAAAAACTCCGTCGTGTTGGGCACCAGGGCGAAGAGGGTGATGCCCAAAAACTTCTGGTCGATCGAGAACCCGTCGAGGACAAAGTCAACCGAGTCCACCAGAATCTCGGCAATGACCGCGTACAGGGCTGTGGCGCACATGAGAATGACGGCCGACTTTCGCCGGCTCCAGTTGGGGGCATCGTGGCCGCCGTGCCCAGCCTCGCCACCGCCGGGGGCCACCGGCTCCTCACCAGCTGCACCCGTAACAACGCCAAGGCTGGCACCACCCTCGTATGGGTCATGGAAGGGAGCCGTGCGGACGGTGTTGGTGCGGATGGTGTTACCCCCGGCCGTGCTTCCGCCACCAATTGTGCCTGTCGTGGGAAAAGCTCCGCGAGCCGATGCGCGGCGAGGAAGCCGTGCATCGCGGGCGGCGATGGTAGCCGCTGTAGCGGCCATCTCAGCCACTTGGTGCACCAAGTTGTCGCTCTCGGCTTCCGTAAAGCCGGCGATACGCACAGAGGAGCGACCGTCGTCAGCCGTCGTGCCTGTGGCCCCCGACGACTTGGCCGTGGTGGACGATGACTTGCCTCCGGATGTGGCTGCAGCACCAGCATCGCAGTTGCCTGTAGAAGAACCACTTGGGCCACTGACAGAGGCGTCCCGACTCGCCCTGCCGTCTTGGCGCGGCTGCAGTCCGACCTGCTTGAGAGACTGGCCTAGTATACGGCGGTAAAGGTGGGAGTCGCGAATGTCCACACCAGTGGCGTCACCAGACGTGCCAGTTGCGCCAGCTGCGCCAGTTGCGACGGCGGTCGACGCCATATTATGACGCGGGGCCGTGCCTGCGAGCTCTTCCTGGCGCTTCTCTTCAATCTCCGTGTTCCAGATGACGGCGGCATGCGTACGCAGCGTGAACCAAAGACCAATGGCATACGACAGGAACAAGAGACTGGCGGCCACATAGCAGTAAGGGCGAACGGCCTCCAGGTAAAAACGGTCGTCGATGGAGGGTGTCTGGGAAAAGAAGCAGCGGCGACAATCACTAGAATCGCCGCCACCCACACCGGCCCCATCGCCATTGTTAATACAGTCCAGGCAGTTCAGCTCGTGCGTACCGTAGATCTGGTAGAAGAGAGTGGGACTGAAGGCGCCGATGACGGCGAACAGCAACATGGTGGAGGTGACACCGGCCGAGCGGGCGTTGAACCGCTGTGTCTTGCGCTTGATGGCGCCAAAACACATGGACAAGCCCGGCAGGAACAGCACACCGGCAAAAATGCTGCCGACGATGCTTCCCTCGACGAGCTGGGACTTGCCCTGGTTGAGCGCCACGCAGTACAAGAACACCTCGACAATGGTGGAAAAGAAGGCGTTAATCGCGGCACCGACGCCCATAGACGACTGGGCAGAAATGGAGGCGACAGCCTGGCCAATGAAGTACGCCAGCGGGATGATGGAGAGCAGGGCGGCGACGAAGAGGAAGGCGGACGACGTGATAAAGCTCTCCAAATGCAGGATGCCGTCGAGGACCAGCCAGTCAAAGATGACAAACATGACCACGGCCATCAGGTTGATCAAGAAGATGTTTGTGCCGTCGACGGTGTACTTCCAGTACTTGGCACCCACCGCCCGGTACGTGCACACAATAATGGACGACTGGGGTGCTGTGGGAGCGCGTGCGGTGGCAATGTCCGACTCGAAGGTCAGGGCGAGAGGATGCCGCCGCAGGTGGTCGAACAGCAGGATGGTGACGCGTCCCATGGGAATGGAGAAGACGAGGAACCAACAGATACCCGACACGATGAAGAGAGCGGGTGTAATCAGGATGTAGAAAAACAAGAAGAAGATGACGCGGCCAATGTTCCACTGCCCACGGCCAAACAGGCGACGTTTGAGGCGAGGCAGTTCAGCATCACCGTCTCTGCTTGCGTCCTCGTCGTCGCTGTCGTACTCGTCGTCAGCACCGTGTCCTCTACTGTCGGCGTGGGCGTGAGCGTGTCCGTCGTAGCGGCCTTGGTGACGGGTAACCGATGTCCGGTGCTGGATGAGGCTGTCGGTCTCATTCGGCATGGAGTCAAAACTGCGGCGCGAGCGGCCAACAATGGAACGGTTGCGCTCAGGCCCGAAAAACAGGCGGCCGTACTCAAGGTCACCGTTCTGCCACTGTTCGTACTCGCTGATACTGCGGCCTTCACCCAGATCCTCGTCCAGGTACGCCTCCTGCTGCTCGAGACGGATAAACTTGCCAAAGGGATAGAACAGATAGCCGGAGAGGCCCCAGAGTACACGGCCGTATTCGCGGCCGCTCGGCAGGCCGGCAAAGATGAGACAGACAGCAGCACCCAAGAAGGCCAGCAGCGCTAGCCACATTCCGAAGCACAGAGTCCACATGATGTTGAAAAAGAGCAGCCAGTTGTGGACATGGCCGCCGGGCGACGAGTGAATGTCGCCCTCTGCTGTCTTCTGGACGGACCGGTCCTTCTTGTATAGTGCAGGTTTCCACAGACGGATACCAAACGGGTGAGTCTCGTTGATGGCCTGCTGGCGGTCTTTGAGCGTGAAGCTCTCGGCGTCACTGAGATCGTCGTCGTTGTCGTCGTCATTGTCATCGTCATCGTCACCGCCGTGGTGGTTACCGTCTCGGTCCTCATCGTCGAGATCGTCGCCTGCATTGCTGCGGTCGATCACGAAGCTGCGATCGATGGTCTCGTCATCGTCCTCGTTGCCGTTGCCGTCGGCGTCGATGCCTGTCGAGTCGAAAAATCCCGTTTCGGAGGGGTTGGCATTGCTGTAGGGCGTTGTCACAGATCTCGAGGTCGTGGAGGTAGGGCCCACCGCTGCTTCGCCCTCCTGGTCAATGTTGTCAGAGTTGGAGTGTATGCGGCTTAGCGGCGCACCAGTACCAACGACGCCACGGCGGCGTAGTGTCGTGGGTTGCGCGTAAGTGTTCTGCCGTTCGGCCACGTCGGCCTGCACCTCGCTTGGGGCGTCATCAACCGAGAACACGCTGCCACGGTGGGGTGCCTGGACATTGCTCGAGGCGCGTCGTGACAAGGCGGGCTTGCGAGGTCGTGAGCGACCACGGTCGGGGCCGAGAAGTGGCGAGCGGGCCGCGGCAAGGTTCGGCGTATTTCCAAGTCGTTGCGGAGGCCGGTCTTGGGTGGGTGTTGAGGAGTTGTCGAAGTATTGGGAGGAGCCCTGGGACGTAATTGTGCCTTGATAGATAGGTTAGCATAGAGCTACGAAGGGCAGAATGAGGAAGCACAAGATAGCGTACCGTAGGTCTCTGGTCGTCGACGGACCGTGTCGGTCGACTGGAAGCTCTCAGACAGATTGTTGCTGCTGTTGTTGTCGCCTTCGCGGCCCCCAGCCAGAGAGGTGAAGCGAGTGGGCGCGCGGGTGTCGGTCGGGGACGGTAGAGCCGACGAAGACTCGCCGCGGTCCTGGTCGTCGGCATCCATGGTGTCACAGGCCCGCTGGGACAGGATCTAGAATCAAAAGTGTTTGCGTAGTCGACGGATCGGATCAGAAGGAGTGGAAAACATAGGACGTGCGGCGCAGGGGATCCATAGACGGCGACGTAAGCACGAGGCAAGATAAGCCGTCAGAGTCGACGTTCGATGCGAGCGAGACAGGATAGCGAATAAGGTTGTCGTTGAGGTCGAGAAAGCCGTCAAAATGTCGTTGGAGAGGTCGAAGAAAGCTCTGTCGAGCTCGATCGAGGTGATCGAAGTAAAAAGAACGGACGAAAAAAACGAGAGCAATGACGCCCGAGAAAGTAAACAACGAAAAATGGGACCCAAGGGATACGAGCGAGACTAGCTGTAATTAACAGTATCCGGGGTAAAAGTGACAAGGGACGGCGAGAGGGACACAAATAAGAAACGAAAAGGGAGGCTGTCGATCCAGAGCGAAGGCCGAGAAAGTGACGATAAGCAGAAAGAGGGAAAGAAGGAAGCACAAACAAAGTACTCCCGAAGGAGGCGAGGTCGAATGGCTCTTTGTGCAAAGACAGATTACGACATCCAGGCTGGGTTGCTCTTTCTCGTTAGGGAAGAGGGACGGGGCTAATTACGGACGGGCCAAGCAAGCTGAGCAGGATTGCTCGGACGGGAACCGCGCTAAACGGGAAGGAGATGGCGCGGGATGGCGAGACAAAGGTTGAGACTTCGGCGTAGGGCTTGAGCTAGTCTACAATGGCGCATTAGGGGGCTGCTCAGTGGTGATGAAGGTCGCGTAGGGGAGCTCGTTCAGGCTCCACGTGGGTCAGGTATGATGTATCGTATCTTACGAGGCGCTAACAGGCGCTGTTTTTCGAGCTTCGGTGGGCTTGCTTAGCGGACTGGCCAGGCCAACAAAGCTTCTTCCACAGCCCGCGCCAGACCCAACCAAATTACGCAGATTCCAATTTGGCCAAATCCATCATACGACGAAGACGACGACCACAAAAGCAAACGTGGGACAGATGAATGTACGATAGCAAGACTACGCCATCGCCCGCAGCCCAACTCTTTCTTTACCCCGTCGTATCCGCATTCTCGTCCGACTATCGCCATGGCATCTGCACCGTCCGCCCGCCGCCGACGCGGTGTGACCCCTGTCGACGCGACGACGACGGCGACGACGACGACGACGACGTCTGCCTCCTCTCCTGACGCCGCCTCTGATCCTTCCTTTGTCCCGACCGCATCGACGACGTCCTTTTCGCCGCTCGCCGTCGCTGCTCGCAATGGCAGTCCCGCCGTGCTGCTCGCCGCGCTGGCTCTCTGCTTCGGCGGCCTCACCGGCGACCCCAAGGTGCGACAGGCCGGTCTCGACGCCGACGCCGACAGCACGGCCATTATCACACTGGCCGGCCTGTTGGGCGTGGCCACGGCCGTGCAGGTCGCTGCGTCCGTCGTGGGCCTGCCGCCGGCCGGGTCCGTGGCGCCGGCCTCGCAAACCGGCGACAGTGCAAAGAAGCAGCGCAAAGCGCGCAAAGACGGGCGCAAACCCAACGTCATCGTCACGACGACGCTGTCTCTGGTGCTGACGGCTCTGGCGACGCCGCTGGTGCATTTGGTGCTGGTGCTGTTTGGGGCACCGTTCCTGGCACAGATACGCCGCACATTCTTGTGCGCGGCGCACCTGGCTGTGCTGGGCCTGTACCCAGTCATCTACACGCGCGGCACAGACGGGACGGGCGCGTGGCGGGCACTGGCGTCGGGGTCGCAGACGGTGAAGCAGCTGGACGCGGCTGTGGGCGGTCTGTGGGGCGCGTGTGCGGGTGCGTGGCTGGGCGCGGTGCCGATCCCGCTGGACTGGGACCGGTCGTGGCAGCAGTGGCCGATTACGGTGGTGGTGGGCATCTACCTCGGACATGCCGTGGGCCGGACGCTGGGTGGTGTGCTGCAGCGTCGGTAGTCTTAGAGGACAAGGAAATGAATGAGAACAGCATCATGCAACAAAGATGGGGTTGGGCATATAGAGAATAGAGAGACACAGAGCAGTGCAAAAGGAGTGGAAGGACGTGCTTGGTTTGTAATGGTGGCACGCGTGTATTCTTAATAGACTGTAAACAGTAGCCCAAATGACTTGTATAGAAATCAATTTCTTGTGTTCAAGCCGACGTTGTAAGCTTAATAGCTCAAAATGGAATCATATGTAGAATCAAATAAAGTCAACTCAAGCCAGACAAACGAAAATCTCATTCACCTGTCAAGGCCGATCCAGCGCTGCCCGAACAACCTTGCTTTCCCAGCCGTTCCTGACCCGCATGACGTTGGTAAAGACCTGCTCCAGCATCCGCAGCAGGCCGATGATGGCGTAGAGCTTCGCCCAGCGCCGCAGGAAGAAGCCGGACAATGTCTTGGTGTCGGGCGGGTGGGCTGTCGGCGGTGCCTTGTCCGCTGTGCGCCGAAGAGGTGTCAGTTCCGAAGCGGGCACAGCATCGTCTTTGTCGCCATCGTCGCCGTCTTCACCGTCTTCACCGTCCTTCTCATCACGCTCCCACCGCTTCCGGACGTCAGCAAACTTGGACGGATCGTCCGTGATGACGCCGTCGACGCCGTTGTGGATGCTCCAGTCCATCCACTCTTCGGAGTTGACGGTCCACACGAGGATGCCACGGCCCTTGGCGTGGGCTTCACGGATGAAGCGACGGCCGCGCGGGCCGACCAAAATCCCCTGCAACAGGTTGAAGTAGCCGACACAGTCGTACTTGAGCAACTCGTAGGCGTACGCGAGGGAAAAGCCAATGTAGGCAATGGGGAAGCCGGGCAGCTTATCCTGTGCATGGCGCATATAATTTGCCTACGATTGATGTTAGTGATGTCTTCTTTTTTTTGTGTAGACTTGACAGCACGCCGCTGTGGGGGAAGAGGCGCGCGGGGGGTTGACTGACCTGCCAGCATCCGAGCACAATCCGCTTGCTCCAGTCGCCCGGTGTCGCCAAGATGGTCTCGGCCATCCGCGTCACCAGTTCTTCGGCGTCGTCGTCCCACTGAACGTGTTAGTGTACATATTCTTGTGCACTGAAACCGTATAGAGTCAATCCGGTGCAGTGGTACCTTGATGTCCAGCAGCGCCCACACGTGCTCGCGACCCGGCTCCGACAAAAAGGACAGCAGGTCCGTCAGCCGCGCCATGGGCACATGCGGGTCCTTGGTCGTCCGCAGCGTCTCCAACAACGACCAGTCGCAGTCGGCAATCTTGTCCGGACGGCCAAAGCAGCGCTTGAGCGTCGCGTCGTGTGACAGGACGACGACCTTGTCCTTGGACAGGTGGACATCGGTCTCGAGTGCGACGGCGCCGCTTGCCAGCGCGGCCCGGAATGCTTCGACGGAGTTCTCGGGGAACTTGGCACGAAAGCCGCGGTGGGCAATGTTTTGAGGCAGTCGTTTCTTGCCGTCCACAGTCGGAATGCGAGATGCTAATGACGTTGGCGTCTGTTGCTGTTGTTGCTGCTGCTGCTGCTGTTTTGTTTTGTCGAGCGAGAGCAGCTCGGGCGAATAGGGTGCCATGGGTGTGATGGGTGTAGACGGCGTCGTGGCCGAGCTGCGTGATTTTGCCGAAGGAGATGGAGAGGCTGAAGAAGAGGACGACAAGGGAGATGCTGACGATGCGCCTTCGGCGCGAGAAACCAGAGAAGAAGACATTTTGGGGCAGGCGATCTTGTATATGAAGACCGGAATAAGAAGTATATGTTGCCGCTGTCTTTTCCTACCCAGTTTTGTCGCACACACGTATTTTGGCCAGGGTTATGGCGTTGACTCTGGTGGGACGGAATAAGAAACAAAGTCGATATAAACCCGACTCTACTGGGCTAGGAGGACGCGGGCGATCTCTCCAAATGATGTGTTTGCGGTAGACAGGGTGGCAGCTCGTCTCCTCCTCGTCAAAATACCTGCTAGTTGTCGGCGTTGCTGTTGTACAATATCCTCCGAAGCAGAAATTTGACCAGGAAAATTGTATGAAAGCGACTTTGGGGCCTGTGATGCTTCATGTCGTTCAAGGGGAGATGATAAGGACGCTCCTCGCTTTTATTGATATTATTCTTTTTCTTCTAGGCTTGCAGTGTCCAGCAACTGCTTCGACAGACGCCACAGGCCACTCGTTTTATTCCAAAGACGAGGCTCGCCAAGCACAGCGGGCAACAAGCTCCGGAACCCGCCGGCCACTACCTCCATTTGAAGCTGAGCTGTGCCAGTACGAGTAAGATACTTTCCCCTCGTACCCGTCGGCGGTCAGTTACACCAAAAAGCCGTATCCAGGCGGTTTTTGACGGCGTCTCCGACAGCATATCTTATGGCTTCATACCGACTCTTGGGCTGAACTAAACAGGGAGCCTCCGGAGTTTACTGTTGACATGCCCGTTCCAACGCCAACAGAACGCTGCCTATTTGTGGCGTATTGTTCGAAACCACGACAAGCCATAAGACACAATTTTTTCTCTGTCGGGGCTCCGGCGGTGGCATAGTGCAGAGGACCGCCTCTGAAAATGTGGTGCAGCGGTGTTCGGACTCTTACATCGGTCCGGCGCATTTCACTAGCTGGTTCCGGTTGCTTAAGCATACAGGACGGCATGCACTATTGGCAATGTCGCCACAGCCAATCGCTTGCGCACGCCCAACATACTGTAAAATAGGCACCCAGTCTCGTGTCCCGTCTGGTAGTCTTCTTTCCAGTTGTCCTTGCCACTCTGCATTCAAAACGTTTTGGCTCGCGAAAGACGCCCAATGTACAACGACATGGGTAATAAGTGTTAATATAGCGGAGTAAAATACGCACAAGGGCGTAAGGCTGTTGCAGCCTCGTGCTAATCGGTGACATATATTTGCAAATGCTTGTCTCGCCGGTTGCCTGTGCTGTTACTGGTTGGCTTGGGCATACGGATTATGCGAAGATCCTTGACTTGACATTCTGAGCACACAACGGATGGGAAAGCAAAGAGAGTATTGAATATCGTTTTGATGATGGTTCATTGAAGCACGTTAAAAACAAATGAAAGTAGCAGGAGGAGGATTTCGTACATATATATATTATGCGTTTATGGGCTATATGGATCAAAAGCAGAGAAAGTTGTTTAAAGCCCAATAAATGGGAAGCGATATGATACGCATACGGCATGACCTTTGGGGACGAATACCATTCTTGAAAATGTGCATATCATCATAGGTTAGGCCAGGACATGGAGGTGTGTTTGTAAACTCAAGCTCTGCGATTTTCAAGTGCATTGCATAGATGGATTACATTTATGAGGCACATGACCACCACCAGTAAGGAGAACGAGAACTGCGTAACATAAATGTAAATGGAAAATTGTATATTAAAAACATGCCCACAGAACGCGACCTTGACATGAGGTATCAGGTATCAGGTATAGTATAGGTTTGCCATGGCCCTTCGTATTCCAACTCAACAAAAACAAGCGAGACGACGAGAAAATCAAACCAGGGAGTTCCTTGCCGCACATTCCATTCATATAAAATCCCGTAACCCAAATAGTCGTTAGATAATCCTTCGCCCCAGATAAAAATAAAAAAAGGTGGTTTGCGAACTCCGGGAGACCGAAAAGTGGCCAAAGTCGAACGTTGCCGTAGTTTTGAAGTTTGTGACGTTGCGTAAAAGGTCTTTTTTTAAACGTGACCGAAGTCCTCATTTCCGAAGAAAATCAGAAAAAGAAAAGCGTAGCCCATGCAAGACGCAAAACAATATAGACCATCAAAGAATGAGCACAGAACCGCCACAAGAAAAAGACATGAAAACAAAGAAAAATCACAGGACGAGACCGTCCACATTGTAGCTCTCAGGGCCGTTGCCTAGAACAATGCCGGTGCTGCGGTAGGGCAGGCCGCCCATATCGAGGCCACCGAGACCAAGGCTGGCCAGGTCGGCCGAGTTAAGGTCATCGCCAGCCACCGAGCTCATGCTCTCATCGCTGAAGCTCAGCACACTCTGCGCCGGAGCTGGGATGCTGCCGGGCGGGCCCTGTCCGCCAGTGCCGGCCAGATCAGAAAGCGTGAAGCCACTCAGGTCCCAAGACTCGGGAGACCAGCCGTCGCCAGACTGCGACGTTGCCGAGGCAGGTGTCGTGTCGGTGGCAGCCGACAGGCCAATGTTCGGGCCGCCGTAGATGGCGTCGTACACGTTCATGTGGCCGCCGTCCATGGAGCTCAAGAGAGCCTCCCAGTCGGCAGGTGTCACGCTGGACGGAGACTGCGACTTCTGGTTGTGGTTGTAGAACTGCGGCTGCGACATGCGCGGCTGGGCAGGCGAGGACGGCGCTGGAGACGCCGACATGTTCAAGAAGTCGAGGTTGCTCTTCTTCTGCATCATGCGCTGGTGCTGCAGTTGTTGAGACTGCGGCATGCGGTTGAGAATCTGCGCTTGAGACATAGACATGCGCTGCTGTTTGGGCAGCTGAACATGCGCGCGTGGGCTGTCAAAGGAAGAGCGAGCACGCGACCGAATCTCCGAGTCCAGAGTGTTACCGCTGCCGGCAGCGCCAACGACAGGCATGGTCATGCGGCGTAGCTTCTCCTGCTGAACGAGGAGGTCGGTCTCACTCATGCTGGCACTGTTGTGGCGACCAAGAGAGAACTGCTGTTGCTGCTGTTGCTGCTGTTGCTGCTGCTGCTGGCCCTTCCGTTGCGAGCCACTGGGAGACGGGCGGCGGGCAGGCGCAGACATGGACGGTTCGGAAGGTGCGGCGGAGGCTGTGTCGGGGACGTCGTCCACAGAGACAAGCATGGCAGCTACGCGCTTAAAGTCGTAGTAGCCAGGGGCCTTGGTGCGGTCGGAAATCTTGACGATCGTGTTGACAAGGCGTTCGGTGTCCTTCATCATCTTGCTGTCTTGCTTCAGGTCCATGCTCTGGTACAGCAGGGTCATGCCGCAGACGATGAGGAGATCGGGCTTGTTCATGCACATGGAGAAAGCCATCTTGCGCTCCTCGAGCAGCTCGATGATCTGGACAATGTGCTTGCTCGCCTCGCTGACAGCCATAACAGCAGAGGCCGCCTTGGCACCCAAGCTGGAACCGACGGCGGGTCGCCAGATGAGTGTGCGGATGTAGTAGTAGGTGAGAGATAGGAGAGGGGAGCGGTTGCCAGTCACATCCGTCGACGGCTTCTCTTGGCGGAACGTCAGGGTGAGGTGAGCCGGCAGGGCGTCACGCCACTCGGTCAGTTCAGACTCGAGAGAAGCCATCTTCTGGAGAGACAGCTCGTGGGTGGAAGCGGCTGGGTAGTTGGTGTCCAGGACCTTGGCAAGGATTTTTGCAACGCGGAAAAGGGCGAGGGCGGCCGAAAGGCGGGTGGACTCGCCAGGGAGTGTCGGCTGGAAGCCCTTCTCGGTGACATACTCGTCATCAGTGTCGGCAGGGTACTCGGCATGGATGTCGTCGTCATTCAGCTGCCGGGGCAGGCCGAGAATGGCAGCCGAGAAGCAGTCAAGAGTGTAAAGAGTCCAGAAGACCTTTTTGCGGGTCTCAATGGTCAGGGCACCGAAAGAGAAGCGTTTCTGGCCCTGGTGCAGGCCCAGGCGATGGGAGAGACCAATGGCAACGCCCTTGTAGTACTGGAGGCGCTTGTAGTCGGCGCGCATGGAGCAGTATAGTATCGCAAGGACCAGGCACTGCAGCGTGATGATCGTGTTATCCATGAGGACGGCATCGAGCGCACGCTGCCACTGCTGCTCGCAAGCAGCAATCTGCTCCAGGTCAGGTTGGTCGCTGGAGAGACCGGCAATGGCAAAGACAAGATACAACTGGGCCAGCTTGTGGTTGTTCTTGACCTTGTCTGCATCGCTGACAAACTCGTCGTAGATACGCAGGAAAGCAGGGCGGTGCAGGATGGGGAAGAGAGGCGACCATTCCTGGAAGTAGACGTTCACGCACCGGTCTGAGAACAGACGAGGTGGAGCACGCATGCTGGACGCGGGAACCTTGTCCACTAGCGGGTAGCAGCCTTGGATGTGCAAAAATGTCTCTGCATGGAAGTCCGAGCAGGACTTGCCTCCCTCCTGCATTTTTCTCTTGAAAATATCTACAAATTGCGTTAGCGAGGAGCAAGGAGAAAAGGACAACAGACGGCACACCAAGTAACCACAGGACTTACCAATAAACGAGCGGCCGCTTGAGGAGCCCATAAAATACGAGTCGGAGTTCTCAACGCCGAGAACTAAGGGGGAGGCTTGCACCCGGAAGGTATTCTCCTTTGATGCTGGTGTCGACGACGGCTTAGAGTCTCTTTTGGATGACTGTGCGGTTGCGTTACCATCTATTGAATTCCTTGGCGACACGCTCTTTGCGACTGCTGGCGAGGCTGAGGAGCCCGGCGACGCGGACGAAACGGATGTCGTCTGGCGAGACAGGCTACCGCTGGCACTGCTGTCATTTGTTGGTGAGGACGAGGCAGAAGTGGCAGAACCACTTGTTGGCGACAGAGCGTTGTTTCGTGAGATGGATGCGCGGCGCTGGTTGCTGTGCATCTTGGAAAGCATATCGATCTTCTCGTCCTTCTCATCGAGCAGGTCTTTCAGCTCGCGGACCTCCGACTCCAGCTGGCGCACGCGCTCTTCCAAAGACTCCGTATAGCCACGGGGAAAGGCGCGGCGGCTAAGCTTGTCGCTGGTGCGGCACTCGAAGCCGACGTTG